AGGGCATTTATTAGGCAACATTATGTGATTACTAAGTGCTGGTACACTTCCAATTGCTTGTGTGTATTAGATCACTTAATCTTTACAATAACACTATGAGATATTGTTGCCATCAGAAGCATGTTAATGACAAATGACCTGCTCAAGATTACAGAATAATAAATGTCTGAATTAGGTTTTGAGGCAAGGTCAGGCTGACTCTAAAGCTATGCCAGAATGCCTAAAAACGAAGTCTTTACAATGGTACAGCACATTTTAAATTCTTAAACACTGATGTTCCTTTGAAGGCTTTGTTTAAAACAGCAGGAACTGAATGATTCTACAGAGTAAAAGCAGAAATCATAGTCTTCCACTCTGCCACCAGCTGAGCATCTACCTGTGAACCAGGTAGTAATCACATTATGTTGCCTAATAAATGCCCTGTCATATATCAGGGGCATAAAATAAAAGCAGGGGATCTAATCTTAAACTCTGATTTCTGCAATTAATATTTACCTGTCTGATTACTGGCTGATAAAATAATCCCTTCTGACCTTGTATCCTTTTCTGTGGGAACACTTAGAAGCTGGAGACAAAACCAGCTATCTATTCTGAAATCCCTTAGATGGATTTACATTTCTTTTTATTCTGTAGTTTACACTTGTAATTTGGACCAAGATTATCTGATTTAAGAAAAATGAAGATTCCTTAACTTCTCCCATTTTGTTACAGTATGATCCTAGCCCCATATAATAATTTTCTTTCTTGAAAGTCAGCTTATTTGGGTATGCTTGGGAGCTTTTAGGTGGCTGTCTCATTAATATACACATCACATGGACCAAGTTGTCTCATCCGGTCAGCTTTGTGATTCCTCGCCCTTACAGTTTTTCTGTTGTGCTGGTGCCCATAACAACACAAACTTAAGAGCCCAGTAATGCGGGGCAAGTAGACTTCCTTCCTACCCCGGAGCTTTTTCCTGTACTAGATGCCAGCTCTGAGGATGGTGAACATGGGAGTTTAATAAAAACCCAGTTTCCTGACTTTATTCCATTAGATTAGATTGTCTCAGTGCTGAAGTAGAGGTTTTAAGAAGGCGGGTAGAAAGCAGTGTCCAGCTTGAGGATATTTAATACATGTTCAGTTTTGTTAACATTGCAGAAAATGTCAGTGGCTGTATTGTTACTATTTAATAATAATAATCTGTAGTAAAACTTTATTTAATTTACACCAAATTTTCAATTTAAGTCATTTATTTGCCTTGGTAAATTCTTTATTTTTTATAAGAGAAGTATCTTACATATATATTTTAATATTTTATTGATGTCAGCCAGGAAGGGAGAGCGGCAGAGAGATGGAAACATCAGTGATGAGAGAGAATCATTGACCAGCTGCTTCCTGCACACCCCACAGTGGGGATGGAGCCTGCAACCCAGGCCTGTGCCCTGCCTGGGAATCGAATGATGACCTCCTGGTTCATAGGTAGATGCTCAGCCACTGAGCAAGCCAGCTAGGCCTGTTTCTTTTTACATGCTTCTCTCTTCCTCCCTCTTAGGAATATCCATGATCTTGGCCTTTATTATAATCACTGTTTGGCTTCCATTTGTATTGTTACCCATGAATGATTTGTAAATAGTACTTTAGTTTTTGAACGGAATCATACTGTATATATTTTCTATTTTGCACATTCCTATGTATTATGCTGATCTAGTTCATTTTTATTGCTGTTTTGTACATTATACAACATTTTGTTTACCAGAGAGCTTGAATATACACATTATTCCTTCTGTTTCTTTCAGACATTAGTTTCTTTGACAGACTATTTGCATTTTGGAAAATGCAAAGAAATATATGACTGGCTCAGATGGACCTTGGCGGTGTGATATTATTAATAGATATATTCATGTGCTTATTGTAAACTTGATCATTCCAATTACTTGTTTATGTGGATTTTTTTTGATGCTGAATTGAATAGTACCAAAGTTTTCCCCCCCGAAGTTTTTAATATATAAAAATATACTCCATAATGTAGATTTATATTAGGCTGTATGTTTGAGAACTTTTTAATCTTGTTTTAGAGAATATTTTACCAATATTTAAATATATTTAGTATGAACATAAGTTAGTGCTTTAAGAAAACCCCTTTCCACTTCTGATTTATGAATTAAGCAAAATGATAGTTTGAGAATTTTTTAAATTTAAGGCTTGCTTTTGTTTTTAGTGTGAACCTATGACTAGTTTTCTTGACTTGTTAACTTAAGTGCAGTCATGAAAAAACAAAACATAAAAATAGGAAAAATAATCAATTGAGCTTATTTCTTTTTAGCCCTTCTTTTCCCAAGAAAAGCATGTTGATAAATTCTACTTCTTGACTTTTGCTGGAAAGTTCCTTTTCTTCCAGTATTTGGAGGACAGTTACGTGTGTCCTTCTGTTTACGTGAGATAAACATTAGTAGTTTAAAAGGGTGGGTCAGTCTTTTTCTGGGGATCTGTTGAATTGTATGGTTTTAAAGGGATTCTTAAGATGGTGTTCTGGTCAAGGCAATTTCTGTTTTTTTGGCTATTGAATAATTGAGAACTGCTTTAAAAGAGTAGGTATTTGAACTTACCATTTTTAAAAAAGCCCGCATTATAATGTGTTATTGAAGATTATTTGGGGTTTTATTGGCTTGATTTAAAAATTGAATGACCCCCTATCTCAGTGGTTGGCAAACTGTGGCTCTCAAGCCACATGCGGCTCTTTGGCCCCTTGAATGTGGCTTTTCCATAAAATACCACGGCCTGGGCGAGTCTATTTTGAAGAAGTGACCTTAGAAGAAGTTTAAGTTTAAAAAAATGTGTCTCTCAAAAGAAATTTCAATAGTTGTACTGTTGATGTTTGGCTCTGTGGACTAATGAGTTTGCCGACCACTGCCCTATCTAATTGGCAGGATATAAATTTTAACTGGGCCAGGAGAAGACCGGCTTGTCATTGCGTATAGCCTCTGCTATCTGAATTTTGTCTCTTTCCTCTGAATGTACCTATTGGCTAGCTAGAGTGGACAGTCTTTAATTATGACAGCAGTTTAAAATTCAGATCTGTTTCTTCCCTTCATTGTTAACTTGTAAACTTAAAGGATGAATATGCATTTACATTCAGCTTTCTGGTCCTCGTCCTTTTTTTTTTCTTTTCTTTTTTTGTTCTTGTCCATTTTGATGCCTATTAACTGAATAAAATGAGTGGAGGGAACCAGAACTTTGAAGAGTATTTATAGATGGAGAGAGGAACATTTAAGATTACTAATATGTAATATCAATATACTAATAAGCAATGTGCAGATTAGCTAGGATTGGGATAATACTAATAGCTATATTTTGAGTGTAGTTTACTTTCAGAAAATAGTTTCCACACTAAAAAAAAAAATTTCTTCATCCCCCCCCCCCCCCCCAATAAATAAATAAATAAATAAATAAATGAACCACTCATGTGTCACAGAATTACCAAGATTGATCTTTGGTCATTATCTATTGAAATGGAGATTTTGTTACCGTGAACATTATCATAAGTGTTGCCAATTCAAGAGACTTATTACCAGTGAAAGACTTTTTGATATAGAAAACATGGAGCTCAGCTAATGAGTTCTGACAACACACTGGGTTTTGTTTCTCAAGTGGAAGGTTGTGGCTTTTGCTTAGGAAATGGTAACATTTCAGCTGCTTATCTGTGCCCTGCAGCTGGCGGAGGAATGCAGCACACTGACGCTGGTTTGCGTTTGGATCCCTGAACACTCGCAGACTTTTCTACCAAAAGCGGTAGAAGAGAGACATAGATCTTTTTTTAAAGTCATCTTGTTTGGAGATGTCACTGAATCAGGACACTGCCTCAATTTCATATTTACTTTTCATTTTTTATCTTCAAAGCGTGATCCTAATGAGTGGAGGGGCTCACACGGAGCGCAGTCAGCCCTGGGAGAATATTGCAGTTGACATAGGCCTGCAGCTCCACTGCTGCCCCCAGAGCCTAAGCGAGGGCCGGCACCCCAGAATGTTTGCCACACAGGGACTCCACCACAGGGAGTGAGGGTGGGCGGTTGCATCTGTGCTTTTGGAACTTTCCTTGTTTCTATTTTCATTTGTAGTTCTTTTCAACAGCAAAGGCTTAGGAAAGCTGAAGTTTGGGCTTCTGTTCAGGGAATAAGTCTAAGCCACAGTACTTTTATTCAGCTGATAAATGCTTGGGTTTTGGTTACCGCTGGTGATTAAATAATCTTCCCATCATGGGATAATCCTACTCATCATACCACAGAATCCTCGTTTGGGAAGGTCATGTCGTCCCTCAGATATCTGAAAAGTTATTAGGCATAAGTGAGGAAACTCAGAGCTGAAAACTTGCCCCAAACAGTGACAGTTGTGAAGCTGCTGCTTAAATTGAACACTTCCCGCCCTGGCCCGGCGGCTCGGCGGTTGGAGCACCATCCTGTGCACCAAAAGGCTGCAGGTTTGTTCCCAGGCAGAGCACAGACCTAGGTTGTGGGTTTGATCCCTGGTTGGAGTGCGTGTGCAGGAGGCAACCAATCGATGCTTCTCTCTCAGGATGATGTTTCCCTCTCTTCCTCCCTCTCTCTTAAACCAATAAAAACATATCCTCGGTGAGGATAAAAAATAAAAGACCAATTTCCACCCTCTGAATTATTTCATATTGCCTCTGTACTCAAGTTTGCTGTGAATGTTTGAGAAGCTAATGGAGTGATGCTTTATCGATTGAGGAAAACATTTAAATAGGAGTAGCTATGTGTTCCTGGAAAGCTTGTCTGTATAGCTCTGCAGTTTCTAAAGGCATGCTGAGGCCTGGTTGCGTCCATTTTGTGGACAATTAAACATTCTAAAAGCTGCAGTTGACTAAATAGGCCACATTGTATCAGTTTTAAACATAATGTATTGTCCTGGTATTCTAACTTGCAGAGAAAGTCTTGTGGGCAGATCTAAGTGGTTTAACTTGTTTCTTAGGATATTTTTTCATAAAAATACTGGTTTTTCTTTTGCAGATTTTCTTGTGAAACCTTCTAGTAGAAAAAGTTCTTGGGACGAAGTTCTTGGTAAGTCTCCCCACCAACTGTGCTGTTTTGAGGCAGGTAAAACGAATTTACAGATTAATTTGGGGCATCTTTTTGTCCTTGTACACAGTATGTACATAATTATTGAGATGAGCTCTTATATTTTCACTTTAATGTTAAGTCTTGAAATGTTTTTTCACTGGAACTCAAACAAGATTGTTTTTTTCATATGTAAGCGTGCCATAATATAATATAATATAATATAATATAATATAATTAATATAATATAATTAATATAATAATATAATATGCCTGGAAACTTATATTTAAGTGGAGATTGAGTGAGCTATAGCCCAATTTAAAAAAAGAAAAGATTGTTCTCTACATCAACATGAAGTTCTTTTAAATTGGAACTTGGTTCTTATTTTGAATTTTCTTAAATTGTTGTTATGTATCTGTATGAGAACCAAGGCCATGTTACTAGACTTAATGACATTAGTTTGATTTTTAAATAGAAAACAAGTTCTAAAAATTTGTTAGCTCTCTCTTTAGTGTGGATATTAACTCCAGTCCTGTCCTTTTTTTAAAAAAAAAAAAAAGTATATTTCTTTATTTCAGAGAGGAAGGGAGAAGGAGAGAGAGAAACATCAGTGATGAGAGAGAATCATTGATCAGTTGCCTCCTGCACCCTCCCCACTGGGGGTTGAGCCTGCAACCGAGTCATGTGCCCTTGGCTGGAATCGAACCTGGGACCCTTCAGTTCACAGGCAGACACACTATCCACTGAACCAAGATGGCTAGGGCCAGACCTGTCCTTTTCATAGACCTGTGTGTATCTCTTCCTGCCTGACTCTTGACGACTGCCTGTTGTTTCTGCCACCTGTTTAATCTAGGAAATTATAATCTAATATTGTTGAAAAGAGAAGTTGCTTTGGTTTTAAGGTTTTAGATTCAAACCATTTTCTTGTTCCAAAACCTTGAATATGGCATTTAGGCTCTTCACAAGTGGGGTTTAAAACATCTCCCTCACCAGTCACTGCAAGTTAACAAATGCACAAGGCTGAAGGGTGGCCTAGCACACTGGGAACGTGGCCTGCAGGTGTTAAAGCTTCTGTAGAGCCTTGCCTGTGTGACTCAGTGATTAGCACATCAGCCTAAGCACTGGAGAGTCATGGGTGTGATTCTCAGTCAAGGGTACTGATCTGAGTTGCAGGTTCAATCATTGGCTCCTGTGCGTGTGGGTGGCCATTAATCAGTCAATCGATGTGTCTCTCTCACATCAATGTTTCTCTCCCTCTCCCTCCTTCCTCTTCCTTTTCCTTTCCTCCTTCCTCTTTCTCTCTCCCACTCTCTATAAAAATCAATGGGAAAAAATAACCTTGGGGAGGATTAACAAAAAAAAAACACACCAAAAAACAAAAACGTGGTAGGAGTATTAGCACAGTTTATGTGAATTTTCAGATTAATTTAGAATATAGGGACAATAAGGCAGTTTTGCTACTAAGCCAGTTTGGTTCCCATAGATAGGGGGATCTATTTTGAACTTACAGATAAAACATTTTATAATATTACAAGAGTATTGTTTTTGTACTTGCGTATTGGTTTATTATTGCTTTATCATTTTCATCCAAAGCTTATAACCGTTTTCATATTACTAGCAACATTAGGAATATAAACCCTTGCTATTATTTTGCCCAAAATTCAGGAGGATTTTCACAAAGGCATACAGAGTTTGCATTTGACTAGTGAGAATTTCCTGGGTATTAGTCAACATTTTCTTGGCTGACTTTGGTCAGGTCTTTGGGTCTGTGTATATGTAGTTGTTTTAATTAGAATATGGCCAACTGGGGGAAAATTGCTAATTTTGTCCCTCTCCTTTCCCTATCCCCTTTTAAAAACCCAGGCAGAAAGGAAAGGATAGCTTTGCCATACACTGAAGAAGGGACGGGGATCTCTCCTCCTAATCTGGGCCTCCTGTCATGGTAAGTAAATAACAGGCAAATCACAGGAACATTGGAATTGGACTCTATCCTGACAAATGACCATTAATGCATCATAGATACCCATTTTTGTTGTAAGGAACCATTTCACTTTTCCTTTCCCAGAACTCTATTGTCCCCTTTCTTTTTTTGTTAACAGTAATAATTATAGAATATTCTAGTGTAGGGGTGTTGAACTCAATCAGAGAAGGGGCCAAAATCTAAAATCCAGCCTAAATCACGGGCCGAATGGTTTACTGAACAGTCATAAACTGTCATTGTGATGGAAACGTAGCGGAGTGCAGTGATGACAGCGCGGTGCGGGCCACATTGCAAGGCCTGGCGGGACGGATTTGGCTCACGGGCCTTGTGTTTGACACATGTGTTCTAGTGTATTAAAGCTGTTTCATTTCTGTTACATATTGTCTCCCTTCAGTCAGGTAGCCAGTGGAGTTAAGACTAAAACCCATGATTCTTTGACTCTAGGTTCCTTCTTCCTTTTCTCGGCAGCAAGGTATGAAAACTGTTGGGGTGTGTGTAGAATTATGATGTGGTCACATATTCTTTATGAATTCACCTCTCTGGATAAAAGCAATTGCCTACCTTCCCCATTTTAGTTAAGGCAGTATTTTTATCCCACAGAAGGTGGAGCAGGTCTGCACCACAAAGAGCATGGATACTTAGCGGACATTTCAGCGACTGGGCCATTAGGACCCAGGCCAGTCTAGGCAGAAAAGAGGCAGCAGTGAGTCAGCCACATTTCTGTCAGCCCTGAGATAGGTAAATAGAGCTTTAAGACTTAAAAAGGAACAGCCCTCTGTAATATTGTCCTGCTTCTGTCTTGTGATACTTCCTAAACGCAGACTGTTTCATGCTGGTGCACAAAAAAGGAATTGAAAAGGCCATATTAATTTCAAGCTTCATTAGGGACACGGATGGAAAATGCGTTTCAAAATTAAAAACAAGCTAAAACAGAAAAACTAGTTGAGCAGAAATCCATATTAAAAGGAGGAGAGGTAACTGCTCTCATCTCAAGCTGGGCCAGTTTTTTCTTAGTTTATGGGTATAGCAATGTATCTTAGACCCAAACACAGATGAACTTTTAATGTTATTTTTCCAGGTCATGTTTTATTGGTTTTCCCATAGGTTTTAATGAATTGATATTTTCCTGATGTTTGGATGGTACGTATGTATGCCAATGCCAGTGAAGAGCAGAAGAGCTTATGAAGGCAGCTCTGTTCTGTACTGCGGTGGTGTCCTTCATTGTATCCACTAGCTAGGAGCAGTGTGGCCTCAGCCTGGCGCTGCTGGGTCTCTGCCTTGTTTGTGCCAACGTGCCAGCAGTTCCCCCACCGGTTCTCTTTGCGCTGTTAGTACAGATGTCACACAGTGAGCAAAGGCAAATGAGGTTTTAGCACTGTGAGGGGGATTTGACCTCCTGGAGCCCCTTGAAAGGGTCTTAGAATCTATAGACCTCACTTTGAGAACCACACTAGAGCAGCGTTTTTCAACCGCTGTTCCACGGCACACTAGTGTGCCGCGAGATGTTGCCTGGTGTGCCGTAGGTGCAGACAAGACAAGAATTTTATAATTTTTCACTATTTTGTTTACTTAATATTTCATAATAAAGTAATTATAAAATACTTTCTTTGTGTTTATTTGATTCCTATTCAAGAGAATTACTTTATATATAGTCAATATAGGCACAGAGTTAAATTTTTTAACATTTTCTAATGGTGGTGTGCCTCGTGATTTTTTTCATGAAACAAGTGTGCCTTTGCCCAAAAAAGGTTGAAAAACAATGCACTAGAGTATTATGGTTTTAAGATTAGGAGTGTTCTTCGGTAAAACTTCTAAGTTTTATTTATGGGTAGGTCTTGTTTCCCTCTTTGAGGAGGTAGAAAGAATTGTTAGAATTGTGATAAGTAGGATGTGCAGAAATGTCCATCCACTAATTAGTGATTATAATTTAGTGCTGTCAGCTGAGCATGATATGGCCTTTGTTTTTACAAAGTTTGTGTAAATAAATTGCATCATAATTTATACTCAGGCTTCCATTATATTGCTTTTCTCTCCTGTCTTCCTATACCATAAAGATTCATAATGTGCCGAGACCGGTTTGGCTCAATGGATAGAGCGTCGGCTTAGGACTGAAGGGTCCCGGGTTTGATTCCGGTCAAGGGCATGTACCTTGGTTGTGGGCATATCTCCAGTAGGGGGTGTGTAAGAGGCAGCTGATTGATGACTCTCTCTCATCAATGTTTCTAACTCTCTATCTCTCTCCCTTCCTCCCTGTACAAAATCAATAAAATATATTTATTAAAAAAAAAGATTCATAATGTAAAAGACTGTATTTTAATGTAAGTTATAATTAGTTCAAGTGCCATTTAGATTAGAATTTATTGCTGCTTTTTGTTGAAATTGCCTTAATAGAAAGAAATCTGTTCTGTAATATAAGACATACTAAACTAGATATAGTGTTTCACACATGCTTTCCGTTTGAGAAATTTGGTTCTTACGCTTTGCATTTTTTTAAAAACTTCTATTATGGAAATTATATATATAACCAAAGTAGACACGATGGTATAGTGAACCCCGACTTACCTGGTTTCATACACCATCCCTCATGGGCAATCCTGTTTCATTTATGCCCCATTCATTTACTCTTACTTTTCACCTTCTAATTATTTTGAAACATTCCAGTTATCACAGCATTTCATTCCTAAGTAATTCAGAATGTATCTTTAAAAATAAGAATTTAAGGAAATAAAAAACAAAACTATATATTAGTTTCTCTTACAGGTAATGTTCTAACAACTTATTACTGCTTAATATAAATGCTCTTAACCTCTTTGATTAAGTTTTTTTTTGTGTACATCAGTGCGTTTTCTAAGAAGAGGTACCTAATATATATCAGATGGAACATTTAATTTTTATATATACATTTTAAAAAATATATATATATATATATATTTTAATTGATTTTGTACAGAGAGGAAGGGAGAGAGATAGAGAGTTAGAAACATCTATGAGAGAGAGTCATCGATCAGCTGCCTCTTGCATATCCCCCACTGGGGCTATGCCTGCAACCAAGGTACATGCCCTTGACTGGAATCGAACCCAGGACCCTTCAGTCCCTAAGCTGATGCTCTATCCATTGAGCCAAATCGGTTTCGGCTATTATTTTTTTCTTGAGTTCTTTCCTGTTAACTTTGGTCACCAGACTCCCATTGTGATTACACTATTAAAACATGGCAGAAAAACCAAATATGGGTGGCTGGGAGTTTCAAAATTATTTAAAGGATTGTTGTGTGTGTGTTTTTCAGGATGAAGAGACTCGGCACAGCCTTGAGTGCATCCAGGCCAATCAGATCTTTCCCAGGAAGCAGCTGATCCGGGAGGATGAGAATCTTCAGGTAAGAACAGGCCACTCCAGATCGAAAGTATTTAGTAGTGAGCTAATGGTTTGAAGTAATGTACTATGTAATATATATCCTTTTTCCTAAGCTATGCACATAGTAGAAATACCGCTGGAAAACATCTTTCCTTTTAGAAAGACTTATTTCCTGAGAATGGACTGTTTGAGATGTTCATCTCTGTGTCATGCCTTCAGCAGTCTAGAATTGGAATAACTAGGTACATTCGAATTCTAAACCCAGTCCCTTACTTATGTATTGTGTTCTAAGTGTGAGCAACAGAGGATGTTTCATCATCCATTTGTCTGACCTGTGTTTGAAGACTTTGATTTACTGCTTCCGAACTTTGAAGGGTTTCTGCTTCCATTTTGAAGGTTCCTTTCCTTGAACTTCACGGAGAAAGCACAGAGTATGTGGGCCGTGCTGAGGATGCCATCATTGCCCTTTCTAATTACAGACTTCATATCAAGTTCAAGGAGTCTCTTGTTAATGTAAGTGATTACCAACTAAAGTAGATAGAGAAGGAAAGTAAGAAAACTGGTTAATGTTCTCAGCGAGAGGAGTGCTGTGCAGGGTTGGGTGTGAACACACTGTGTCTGCTTTTCTCCCAGTTTAGCACCAGGGGACACTAGGTTAGCAAGCACTTGTAATGCTTGATTTAAAAGGATGCCCGTAGTTGTCCGCTGAGGTGTCCATTGGTTAGTATTACAGAATTGATTTGCCCTAGGTAATGCTGTATCATTAAGTTTTATAACGGTGCAAAAGCTGTAGACTTTCATTCTTCAACCTTTAATAGCTAACTACTGCCTCAGTTGAGAGAATTTCTGGATCTTAATGTCAATGAAGACTGTACTTAGAACTCAGTGCAGACGGTCATAGGATGAAGTTAGTCTAATGGCTCCCTATGGTTTAAGTGTTAAGTACAATGTTTAATTACTTAATGGACTGTGTATTCCTGAAGAAAAGGAAGGCTCTCGATCCATGGAGTGCATTATCCTTGTTAGTTGTGAGGGTACAGGTTCTTCCAGTACACTGCCTTTATTAATAGTTTCCAGTTAATGTGCCTTTCACCACAAAGGCACAAAGTGTGTGTACTCCAACCAAATGAATGCCGTCTTCCTTCTTCATTGGCCAGCGTTGTGCCTTCCTGCACTTTGGTTCTATCGATAGCACAGAGAAGAGTATTATGACATCATTCAGATCCTGTGTTTTGAGGATCATTTGGGATTCTTTTATATCTGTCAGTTAATGTTTGTTCTTTTCATTGACTCAAAAGTAACCCAATTCCTTCATCACATTTTTTTTATTTGTGTGTGTGTCAAAAGGCTCAAATAGCTGCCATTTTCTTTATAGTTGGCATTTATTATTCTTTATAGTTAAGCATTTATATCCAGGAGCCATTTGGGCTACTATCATAGCTGTTACATAAGATTTCTGCTCGTCAGCTATTAATACACATTGGATTCATCAAGGAAAGGGGCATGCTGTGCTTTCATACCCTTTTGCACAGTTGTCAGAGGAGGGGACAGGATAGAAACTCTTAAAATCTCTGCAACCAGAAATCCCCACCAGCTACTGTGAGAGTAATGAGAGTAATAAAGTAGTCCCCCACCACCTTTTGCTGTTCTGCTTTCTGCAGTTCCAGTTAGCCATGGTCAACTGTGGTCTGAAAATTCTAAATGGAAACTCCCAGAAATAAGCATTCATATGTTTTACTTGACTGGAGTGGCTCAGTTGGTTGAGCTTTTCCTGTGCACCAAAAGGTTGGTGGTTCGATTCCCAGTCAGGGCACATACCTGAGTTTTGGGTTCCATCCCTGGTCAGGACATGTACGAATGTACAAAAGGCAACCAATCTCTTTGTCCGTCTCTCTCTCTTTCTCTCCTCCCTCTCTCCTTTTCTCTCCCTCCACCTCTTATCTCTAGCATGCCCTTGGGTAAGGATTAAAAACAATAATTCATAACTTTTAGTGGCACACCATTCTGAGCAGAGTGATAAAATCTTATGCCATCGTAGATGGCCCTGGAGTGCAGGATAGTTATGCTGGCAATTGGGCATGCTTAGAGATAAGAGGTAGAGGGAATCAATGAAATTCTACTTAAATTCATGTGGGGATGATGCAGTTTCATATCATTGCGTTTTTCCATTCAGTCCCCTATTTCTCAGGTTGTTGGTTTAAGGTCGGGTATTTTAGGGACTATTTTTAGATCTATTCTGGAATAGGGTCTGTTGGAGAGAGCATGGATTTGATCATGTCATTCACCAGTCTAAGGCCTTTCAGTATTTCTTCACTGCTTTTAAGATGGGGTCACTTGGCATGGGGTCAGGGTATTTGGTACTTGGTCCTGTCTCTTTCCCTCTTTTCTCCCTTCTCCCCTTGGCGATAATAAACGGGTATATCCTCCTTGGATTCTTCAGCTATAATCTCACACTCTGAGTTCTTTCTCTTCTCTCTGCTCATGGAACTCCCTTTCATCTTTCAAAACCCCAATCAGGTGCTAAGTTCTGTGCTGTCTTTCTCAGTCCCAGCTCCTCCCTGGCAGGGAATTACACTCCTGGCTGCTTTTCTGTAGCCTGACCACACCTTTACAACCTTCACCAGATAGTGGAAGTTTTTTGGTTACTCATCTTTGTGTCTTCAGAATGCAGCCTATCTCCTGGTACCATCATATTCAGTAAATACAGTAGTGGGCAAAAGTAGATTTACAAATAATATGAATAAGTAATACAATAATAAATAAATAATATAATAATAAACTGTTCTGTGTACTGACAAATGTAAACCTACTTTGCTCACCCCTCTATTATGTGAATTAAAATTGATATTGGCTTGAAATGGCTATAAGACCATTTTAAAACTCTTTGTAGATTTGAAGCTCATTTTAAAACAATATATCTGCGTGATAGGCCCTGTCAGTGTCTCTAAGGGTAGCTGTATAAGTGGGTTGTTTATTGTAAATGTTGGTCCCTCTTTGTGACTGAAAGATAGGCTAACGAGATTTACCAATGTACATACTTTTGACCTATTTTCTCACCTCAAAGTGTTTTCTCAGATAGCATTATAACCCTCTAAGGCATAGAGCCTGTATGTGACTTAAAAAGCCCAATATAATGGCTGCCTAGGAAAATGATTGGGCAGAAGTATTTTGGTATTTCAGTGACTTTACATACTTCAGATTGAAAGAGACTATGACTTCTCCATACAAATAAATGACTTGCATCACAGCTCGTGCTAAGGTTCCTAAAACCTGTGGTTACTCCAAGAAACAGTGGCTCCTCCTGCGAGGTGCTGGTTGGAGACTGGAGAGGTGGTGGGTTTGCCTCCCTCCCTTTCTTTCTCCCTCAGCAGATAAATATTTCAGTCAAATATGTGAGATCAAGAGACTCCCTTTGAAGGTTATTCAAACACATTTCAACTTAAAGCCCAAAATGTGCCAGTCTATATTGAGGCACGCCCCAGTTTGCATCATTTTGTATGTTTTTAAATCGGTGTATTTAGTACTTTAGAAATAGAAAATAATTTACTATCAGGTTTTAAACAGCAACCTGATATATATTCTTAAAAAGTTTTTTATTGTGGTAAAAATTAGTATACAAGATTACATATTTGATAGGTGTACAACATTATAATTCGATAGTTGTATACGCTACACCACTGTAAATCTAGTTATTATTCATCACATAATTCTCTTTCAACTTCATAGCATATTGAGTAAATGCCAGAAGTATTGTGTACCGTAATTCACACACATTCACTGGATATCCAGTTTTAAATTTCTAGGGTAAAGCACCTCTGTAGTAGAGTTCATTGGTAGCATTTAAGGTATGAATTACCCCCATTCTGTGCTTTGCCCAAACTATCTATATCTATCTATCTATCTATATATATATATTTTTAAATATATTTTTATTGATTTTGTACAGAGAGGAAGGGAGAGAGATAGAGAGTTAGAAACATCAATGAGAGAGAGTCATCGATCAGCTGCCTCTTGCACACCCCCTACTGGGGATGTGCCCGCAACCAAGGTACATGCCCCTGACCGGAATCGAACCCGGGACCCTTCATTCCCCAAGCCGAAGCTCTATCCATTGAGCCAAACCAGTCTTGGCCCAAACTATATTTTTACATATGTATAAATATTTCTTTGATGCTCAGCTAATTTATAAACAAACAAGCGTTCAAGTCGAATTCATGAAAGTTTAAAACAATTTTTGTGTAATTCAATAGACTGCCTCTAAATCTGCTGCTTCTGAAGTCCCAGTAAGTAGCATGAGAAACCTAGGCGAGTTTTGCACATGTGCCTGAAACAAATTGGTTTTGAATGTCAGATGCTCACCTTGCAAGTCAGCAAAATGTGTCCATTCTGCATGAATCTCTTCCCTCTTTCTAGGCAATGTTCTAGTGGCATTCTATAATGAGAACAATTTGTGGGGTGAGGATAAAGCCCCACAGCTTGTACATTGATGGAATTGACCTTCAAAAAATGAAAACCAAATTTCAACTAGAAATTTTTGTAAAATCAACATTTACATTAAGTTTTTAAAAGGACATTAAAGTATTTAAAAGGACATTAAGTTTCTGTTTCTAGGATGTCCTAATGCTTCTGAGGAAAAGGTCGAGTGTAGCAGCTGGAAAAGCCTTTCTTAGCATTCCCCCCCAACATTTTTTATTGTCTGACTGTAGTACATCAAAAATTTTTCTTCTCCAAACATCAAGAAGAGATTATTATTAACACTTAGTACACTTTGGCCTTAGCATTCATCTGTCAGCAGAGGCATCTGGCACCAGTGCTGGAAGAGCAGCTTATAAATATCACAGGAGAGCAGTAAAAAGTTCGTGTCTTTAGCGTGTGACACAGACTTTTAGGACTGGTTTTTAAAGGATAAGATTTGGTGCCCGGATATTTCACACTTTATTACAGATTTTAGGTTTAGAATCATAGCTTTATTTTCACTTAGTTACTGTCATTTTTACTTCAAACGTACATACAAGGTTAGTACTTCCCATCCAGGCTGTAAAGGGGGCATTTGTTTTTAAAAGGTAGGAATTATCCCTTTTTAAATTCTGGTGCTCAGAAACAGTACACCTGTGCACATGAGGGCACGCACACATCCGAGTGGGACAGCACCGTGGGTCTTTACAGCCCTGCATGTCTACTCCCTGCTGCTTTGCTTGACGCTCTCAGGAGTTTTGGTGGTCATGATGTAACTCCTGGCCTTTTGAGAAATCGATTAACAGCACTTGGTGTGTTTGATGCATTGGTTTGAGCATGAGTTTGGTGAAATTCATAAGAGGAAGAGCACTGTAAAGGGAGATAGAATTGCCTAGCTAGACGACAGAGGGAAAAATAACAAAAAGAAATTAATTGCTCTAAAACATTTGAATAGGGGAGCTGGAGAGGATTTGAAAGATGACTAGATTTCTCACTGCTCTTCCATGTGCACAATTGCCTCTGAGGAATCTTGGTTTAGATTCTGTTTTCCTCTTGAAGATCCCTGAGAAAGAACTCTAAAGCAGTGCGCATACAGAAGGGAGGTGCAGTCTTGAAGGAAGAAACCTGCATCATGTACATATTACAGGAGCCGGACTGGAGGACTGACTGGATTACTGTCCTGAGTTTGTCACCAGCTTACAGTGTAATGGCGAACCTTCTCCTGGGCTGTACAGTTGTCTGGGTCTTGAATCTGTAATTGTTTGCCTGTGAGATTGGAGAGTGGGTTTGATAGTTAACAGAACTGGTGAGGAAAATTGGGGAAAGTTGAGAAATGTAAAGCGATGTCGTAGGCCTTAAAAAATGCAGAGAAATTAGTATGTTTTGATTGGAGAAATGAAGAGGAAGAGGCCAGTTGTGTCTTTTTAGAAGAGGAAGCATTCTGTGGAAGGAACAGTGAAGATGGGAAATGAGGTAGGAAGTAGAAGAAAAAAGGAATATGTTCATTTGATATAACATCTGGTATTTTTCTTCGATATGTTCCTGTACCTGCTGCATATCAAACTTCACTGCATGTAACTATCTGCATGAGTCTTAAAATCTGCTGTTTTATAGATCTATGACTGAGAGCGAGTGGTATATACACTGGTGTTTCTAGTATCTGCATATTAGCAACCAGCATCTTTATCCTTTTCTTCAAATTTGTGATGTTAACATGAACATTTATGTAACAAATGCATTTTAGATAGCACATTTTTTATGTGCTCTGAGATGCAACATCGTTTTTATTCTGGAAGTCTGGGCCTAGGCCTTGGGCTCTGGTCCAATAGGAGGGATGTAAAACTTACCTGTTTTTTGTGTCTAAGTAGCACAGGCTGGCGTCCACGCTCTCCAGCGACTGCTCAGAGCATTACATGGTTTGACCGAAGGGGACCTGGGGGCAGGTAGCTGCTGAGATGGCAGCCTCTGACTTGGGTTTGTGAAGCTCACTCTCCCTGCGGCGGGAGAAGGGAGGTATCTAAAGGAGGGAAACAATATGACAGTCTGTCACAGAGGACTGTCCTGAGAATGAATCCTGTTCTCTTCTCCATCTCACATTCCTCCTCCGCAGTTTCTTCCTACTAATACATTGTTACCGTTGTTTTCCTTCTTAGATGTACAGGTCTGGGAAGAATTTTTGGCTGTATCAGCTCAGTTTCTCACGGCACCTTGGGGTTAAGGACTCAAAAACCCGAGAGCCAGGGCTGCTTTTGTTCTCAGTACACAGGCAGGATTCATAGTCCCTCTCTTACTCCCAGTCCGATTACAAGTGTAAGCAAAACTTGCAGATTACAGACTTAGACCTAAGCAAGCAGACCCTGGTCTTGAGTAGAAACTCCCGGCCAGTATCTGAATATTACCATTTTGCTTTCTTCTCTTTTTTAAATCCCTGCCCCCAGTTTCTGTTTCTTTGTCCTAGACGTTCAGCACGGGCCTTTTATTTTATCCCCACATCCTTGCTCTAAGAGTTCTCTGATGATTTTGGCAACTCCTGGTAGGACAGGGTTTGGAAAAGGCTCAGCGGACCCGAGGGCCGCCTTCTGCAGCAGCGTCCGGTTTGTGTTTGCGGAGAAGACTGCCTCCCCCTTTTATGCGGAACAAGACGTGTTTGAAGCTACTTGCGCCTCTTGAGCCGTCTAGTGGTCTAACCTTTTCCAAGGAGAAGAGCGTGCACTAGCTTTATCAGGCTTTCTTTAGAAAATTGCTTTTTGAAGCCAGGGGTTGAGTCAGGATGAGTCTCATGTGAACTTGAGGATTTGTCACCCTGTCCATGTGCTCTCCCATCCTGCTCCCTTCTTTTACTTTTAACTGTTGTATTTACTCCTATTCACTCAGTAGAGTCTGCTGACCTGATCGGCAGGAAGAAAACCATTCTAGCTTGCTCATATCTCAAGTCCCACTTGGCAAACAGGGCTCCTCACCGCGTCTTTTAAAATAAGTTAGACCTCGCGAGTTTCAGGACCTTCGCCCACTGAGCGGCCTGCTCCTTCCTCGAGGGCTGTGGGTCTGTTTTCCTGAGCAGAACGCCTGGCCGCACCTACCGCCCTGTCGTCTTGTCTTCACAGCCTGCAGGCAGTTTGGACTGGTCTTTTTTAGGATGCTCCTCTGCTGACTGACACAAAGCCACAAGCTCACTTTATGACAAGTGGTTCCACTAGCACTTTGATCTACAGTCTTTTCTGTAAACAAGACAGGATTACTGTTCTGGTTTCCTTCAGCCTCTGTGTCATTACAAATCACCATTGGCCATAGCTCCTCAGGCAGTACTGCGTGCTGAGCCTGTGAGCTCGGTGCTGAGAGAGGACATAGTTCCCCATTCTTCAGGGGTGGCGTCTCTTCTTCATGCCTTGTGTTTTTGATTTGGAGATAAAGGAAAGCCCCAATTCACGCAGTAGTAAAGCACCGGAGTGCGAGTGATCCCCCTAAGTCCGAGGTTCTGTTTGCGCCTTTCCCTGGTGGAGTTTCTAATCACGCTTGTTGGACACGGGGAAGAACTGCAGGGTCAGTGCCTTTTTCACTAAGGGGACTTTATCTCTTTCACTTGCAGGTTCCGTTACAGCTTATAGAAAGTGTTGAATGCCGAGATATATTTCAGCTTCATTTGACTTGCAAAGACTGCAAAGTTATCAGGTATGTGGCGTGTTTATGCTGCTGTTTAGTGTGGAAAAGACTTTTTAGAGAATAGATTCAGGGTTTGTTAACAGATCCTTTTGAGGATCAGCCTTGTGGGAATATTTTTCTGAGTAGTTAGTGTCTGAAATATTGTAGGTTACTTTGCTATTTGAAAGGTATTTTTAAATTTATTGAGGAATATTTTCAAATTTACAAAAAATGCAAAAATAAAAATAGTACAAAGAACACCTGTATTGTTAACATTTTACCCCATTTGCTCTATCATTTGTAGGGACTGTGTGTGTGTGTGTGTGTGTGTGTGAGTGAGAGAGAGAGAGAGAGAGAGAGAGAGAGAGAGAGAGAGAGAGATTCTTTTACTGAATAATTTGAAAGTAAGTTAATATAATCATGGCTCTTCATCTTGAAATACTTCCGCATGCTTTCCTAAAAATAGGGATATAACATAATCACAGTATCGTTATCAACTTCACTATTTTACACTCACAATACTTTTATCCAATCTACAATACATATTCTGAATTTGTTAGTTGATGTAATAATGCCCTTTACAGCATTGCCCCTTCTCCACTGGCTCAGAACAGGATCCAGTCAAGGTCAGGCAGTACACATAGCTGGCATGATTCTATAGCCTTTAACCGGGATGTTTTCCCCGCCTTTGTCTTTATGACATTCTTCGTCTTTATGACATTTCGAAGAACACTGTCTTTTAATAGACTGTTTCTTATTTTGTGTCTGTCCAGTGTTTCCTCATGATTAAACTGAGGTTGTACATTCTCAGCTGTTACACTATACCCGTGAGGTTGTGTTCTTTTCAGGGTATTGTATTACGTCTGGAGGCAAACAGTATCCATCTGTCCCTTATTGGTGATGTTAATTTTGATCACTCTATTAAAGTGTCACCATAATCTCTAAACTTCCTCCCTTGCAACTAATACTAGTCTACGGGAGGCACTTTAAGACTGCAGATTCTTGTTTCTCACCAAATTTCCCCAAAGATTTAACATCCATTAATGTTTTTACCTGATCTAATCTTGACTATGGTTGCAAAATGATGCCTGAAATACCTTTTTAAATTTAGTAGCTCTGCAAGTTTTAAATTCCCCAAGTTTTGACTTTATCTCTTTGACCTGTTCCGGAGTGCCAGTAACATTGTGTGCTGGCATGCTGATGAGCCACGTTGATTGGGACAAGGGAGAGGTTTAATTGACCTTCTTGGTTTGAGGGTAAATATGTACAGTTGTCTTTTCACCACTGAGATTTGGCTTGCCTTCGATAGGTACTGGCTATAACTCACAGTTTAAAGAGCTTGCTTATTAGTTACTTGATTTTAAACACTGCATCTGAAAAGGTCAAGTCTTTTTACATTATTTTAACCTCTTAGTTATACATTCTGAAAGTTGCAATTGATAATAAAATTTTGTTCCCTACATGGTAATAGCTGAAGACTGTAATGTAATATATCTTATTTTGGATATAAAGTTGCTGATTTATTCTAATTGCTAAATAGACAAATTTTGAAATTATTACCTAAGTAGCAAAAAGTATAGCTGTGATTTGAGCTCAGCCTAACATATAACAAAACAAAAGGACTTCTCTAAACCTATTTCTTGGGAGGGACAACTATAAAGCTTTGATAGAAGAAATAGAATGAAATTCCACTCAAGGAAGAGAATGGCTGCCATTTTACTTTAATAATAAGTTTCCCATATGTTCAGCTTTCTTCTTTCTGACATTTATACTATTGACTAAAATTTGTTGGTCTGTTTTTATTATAAATGATAAACATGTGAATGACCACTTCTAATGCTTTTTTGACTGTAGTTATCACCTCATCATGAGTAGGCACTCTTAAAATGTGGCTTTTCTTAGTATTTATTGTGATCTGTCTTCTGATTACATCCTGTACTTGTTTCGCTTTACAAAGGTGTCAGTTTTCAACTTTTGAGCAATGTCAAGAGTGGCTTAAGAGACTGAACAATGCAATCCGACCACCTGCTAAAATAGAAGATCTCTTCTCATTTGCATACCATGCTTGGTGCATGGAGGTTTATGCCAGTGAAAAAGAGCAACACGGAGACCTGTGCAGACCAGGTAGGCCTTGCTAAAATATGCAAATGGCGGCTTTATGGACTGCTACTTGAGGTACCCCTAACAAGAAACAGGACTCCTCAGCGGTCATATAGTCACTCAGTGTACATTTTATGTAGCACTTAGCACGTGCCCATCATTATAAGCTGAGTAGAACACATTTCCTGCCTTTCAGGGGAAGGAAAGAACAGAAGATTTGGCATCACAATCTACTGAGCTTAAAACCAACTGTACAGTAAGATTTGAGGGTGATACAGTAAGATTTGAAGGTGATTTGGAAGCCTAGTAGCATGGAGCCATGAGTATTGTATGCAGGTCGGAGAAGACCTCATGTCTGTGGTGGCTTTTGAGTAGGCTTTGAAGGTCGAGTGAGAGTTCATTGATTAGAGAATTGATTAGTTCATTGATTAGAGTTCATTGATTAGAGAATGATAGAGCAAGTAGCATGAACAAAGGTATAGGAGTGTGAAATCAGGCCATATAGTAGGGGAATTTTCGGGCCACAGGTACCTGTTGTCACCCCTTTCACCCGGAGATGGTGAAACGGAGGTCCAGAGGCCAGGTGGCTTCCTTCGGGACAGAGAGACGCTGAGCCTGGACAGAAACGCAGACTTGCTGACTCCGCATTAAATCTCTGTTGCATTTACTATCTTTCTCCCTCAGAAATGGCTTTGACTGAGCTACTGTTAATTCTCCATGGAGTTGTCAATGAACCTGATGTTGCTATAAATATAACTTTTCTGTTCCAACATGAAGTCTTTAGTGTATCCTGTTTGGGAGCAAAATCTTGAATTCCTAATCAGTGAAGAGTTGAGTTTTCTTCCAATAAAGCCTACTCTTGGGATTTCTTTTTTCCTTTAAATCTCAGTTTTTAATCACAATCTTAATAATTCTGCCCTGGCTCATTTTAAACATTTGAGGCTAGTCTAGCTATGTGCATTGTTTTTGTTTTTGACTTATTCACTGGTTGAAGTTTTTGGTTTACATTCTTGTTAAAATAAAATATATTGGGTCGGCAACTAAGTAATTGCTGGTCTCACACATATATGGCTTCAGTTGAATTTTTAGGTTTGCAGACGTAGTACAAATGTAAAACACATTTTGTTATTTGATAGTTGGCTATTCAGCTGTTAATCAGCAAAAAAAGTTTTTTGATCTGTTTTGTAGTTTTCGTTTGGCGTTCATTGAAAAATGGAAAATCAAAAGGAACATTTTCGTCATATTTTGCTTTTTTATTTCTGCAAAGGGAAAAACGCATAGCAAGCTCATAAAAAGTTATGTGCTGTTTATGGTGACGAAGCCTTAAAAGAACGGCAGTGTCAAAATTGGTTTGCCAAATTTTGTTCTGGTGATTTTTCACTCAAAGATGAAAAACGCTCTGGTCGTCCAGTTGAAGTTGATGACGCCCTAATCAAAGCAATAATCAATTCGGACTGTCACAGTACAACACGTGAGATTGCAGAGAAGCTGCATGTATCACATACATGCATTGAAAATCACTTAAAACAACTTGGCTATGTTCAAAAACTCGATACATGGGTTCCTCACGAACTGAAAGAATCACAGTTAACGCAACGCATTAGCAGCTGCGATTTGCTAAAGAAACGTAATGAAAATGATCCATTTTTAAAACGACTGCTAACTGGCGATGAAAAATGGGTTGTTTTCAACAATATCAAGCGGAAAAGATCGTGGAGCAGGCCAGGTGAACCAACTCAAACAACATCAAAAGCTAATATTCATCAAAAGAAGGTTTTGTTATCAGTTTGGTGGGATTACAAAGGAATTGTCTACTTTGAACTCTTACCACCCAACCGAACGATCAATTCTGATGTCTACATTGAACAACTAATGAAATTAAACAATGCAGTTGAAGAAAAGCGGCCCGAATTGACAAATCGAAAAGGTGTTGTATTCCATCATGACAATGCAAGGCCACACACATCTTTGGTCTCTCGGCAAAAATTAATGGAGCTTGGTTGGGATGTTTTGCCACATCCACCATATAGTCCTGACCTTGCACCATCTGATTACTTTTTGTTTCGATCTTTACAAAACTCCTTGAATGGTAAAAATTTCAATAATGATGATGATGTCAAATCGTACCTGATTCAGTTTTTTGCTAATAAAAACCAGAAGTTTTTTGAACGTGGGATTATGATGCTGCCTGAAAGATGGCAAAAGGTCATTGATCAAAATGGGCAATACATTACAGAATAAAGTTATTTAATTCCATAAAAAAATTGTCTTTGATTTTCTTTAAAAAATCCGCAATTACTTAGTTGCCGACCCAATAATAACAAACATAAGCATCATCTTATTTTTAAAGACGCTTTGATATGTATTTTTGTTTGGCCCTTATGATCTGCTCAGACAGGCAGGATAGGCTGGTATTTTTGTTTTGGGAGCTAACGATGAGACTCAGACAATGCCTGCTGTTAGGTCCCACTGGTAGGTACTGACAGCGCTAGAACGTATACCCAGTTGTCAACTATTGAGAACTGACTGTGCGGGGTGCTGTGGGTACAGATGGAGAACAGCCCCGGCCCTTGTTGAGCCTAAAGGAAAGCCTCAGGAATTTAAGCTTCCCACAAGTCTGGTCAAGGCCAGTGGAATCCAAAGTCAGCAGCAAGAGACCACACCAACCTTGGACGTTATGAGAATGTGCTTTTAAACTGTCACTCCACTCCCTTATCCGCTGCATCCCTTTTTTTCTTCTTCCTGCTTTATTGAGATACCGTTGTATTTTTTTGTTTTGTTTCTTTGTTTCTGGTTCTTTTCATGTTTTTGTTAAAGTTTATACACAATGAAATGCACAAATCTGATGTTACATTTGATTGAAGACTAACTCCAAAGGCATTCCCCTAGTTTGGGATTGGCGGCATTTAATTAACAAAGCCTGCTTGCTCCTTCCTGAAACTGACATTTCCTCATCTTTTTACACAATTTCTTATTCCCTTGATAATTTTATTCTTTTGGACTTGAGCCAACTCTTAGGATACTCCTAAGATATGTCAGGTCAGAGCTTGACTGTGGTCTTTTAATGGTGGATGGCTTTGTCCTGAGCTGGGATGTCTGGTCCTCAGGTCCTTCCTTTCTGATGTTATTTCGTGTTCTTTGACCACCAGGCCTTACGGATGTCCATGGTGTCCTCTGTCTTTCATGGACTTGTGATGGATAGAGTCATTTGGTGGGGAAAGTATTAGACTTAGGAATTAGAAAAGCTGATATAAAATCTGTACTCTACTATTTAATTCAAAAAAATAATACTGGGCAAGCCATTTATCCTCTCTGCACTTTAGTTTCCTTTGTTCTTTGGACTGGGCCCACCTTCTTCCTGCCCAAGCTGTTCTGGGCATCCTGAGGATCAGATGGGTTATGCTAGAGCTCAGTTCAGTAAATGTGTGTGTACCTCCTACGTGCCTTGCTTGTAAAAACATTTTGGGAATTAGGAATATACAAGGTGATGCTGTGCTGTTGTAACAAACTGGTTTGAACTTCTCTATAAGTAAAGGTTGTATTTTGTTACCTCCCAGTATGTACAGTCCACATGGAAGTTACAACCATTAACTTTTGCAGGGCCTGTTTATATTCTTGATGGTCACTGTTCCATGCAATCTGTAGACAGATGGCTCCCCAATTCAGATAGCTTTTTTCCTATTTGGAAGTCTATATCATTTTCCAAAATAATAGATTCAGCTGGTTTTTCCTGCATTTCTGAGCCTGGTCTTTTTATAGTTTTCCTTCAGGAGACATGTAATACCTACTTTAGTTTAAGCTCAAGAAAAGCAATTTTAAATGGGAAGTGGTTTTATAGAATTGTTCTTCATTCCAGTAATTGCTATTTCCTATTTTTGAAGCTCCTCTCCCAGGGAGAGCAAAGCTTTATACTTTGATCATCAAAGCAGTCTTGTGCTTCTTTTGTGCTTCTATTATTGTAGTTTCTCCTGCTTAATGATTTTTTTTTTTTTAATAAAATTACTGCCTTAGGACTCTGAGTTTTAAAGGAAGAAAGTTATTTCAGATTTAATGACTTTTATATTAGGTTCATTAATGTCTTTGTTTCTCACTGTCTTCAGGAAGAGAAAGCCAAATGCAGCAGGGCATGTGTAGACGGGTTACATATGTTTGGGTGGCTGTTCTTACAGCACTGAGCACTTCACTTGGTGCTGTGGTGTTTCTGAGATTCCTGGGTACTGGCGGTAACAGTCTGTTTTCTTTTACCTGTAATTCTGTAATCTATAAGGCTCTAAAAATTGAATGATTTTTCTTATTTTATTTGGTGGCTTGAACTGATCTGAAACTATTTATCTCAGTATGAATGCTCTATGCATTTCATTGTAGAAATACTAATGTTTGATTAAGTAGATCCTGTTTAGAGTGTTGATGCTCAGTGGCCCAGGCTGGGCCACTGAGTCACACTGGCCCAGCCTGGCCCAAAGGGTTTCTGATGAGTTGTAGATCTGTGTTACTATTTTAGTGAACTGTTGATGTTATTCTTATGTATACCGTCTCTGAGTGTGGAAGTGGGTAAGCAGTCAGAATAATGGTAAGAACATGGGTTTTGGGACCAGACTGACCTGCCACAATAACCTCTCTCAAGTTTCTGTTTTGTCTTCTATAAAATGAGCTGATGGTAACTATCCTCAGACTTGATAGTAGTGATTAGGTCACATACCACACTTTTTGATTAAAATTAATGTCTTTGTTCCTCAATTCAGTCTTATCCTGGCAGGTTTTTGTTTGTTTGTTTGTTTGTTTGTTTTTAACACTAAAACCATATCTGCTGTTTTATTTATACAGTGCTGATCCCCTGTGGCGAAGGGTAGCTACACTCCTATTCTGCCTGTTTTCAAAGTGGTTTTCATTTCCTTTTCCTGCTGCCTTTGGTTTCTAGGGGAACACGTAACATCGAGGTTTAAAAATGAAGTGGAGCGGATGGGTTTTGATATGATCAATGCCTGGAGGATTTCCAACATCAATGAGAAGTACAAGTGAGTTGTATGGGTCCCTGTGGACTGTTTCACAGCCATTGCCGTTGCAAAACCCCATTTCTCATGTGGCAGAACATTTGAACTTAGACTTTTTCTTTCAAATGACATTTATTTATTAAATCAAAATGCGTGATTTTCAGAGTTCTTCTTTAGTTTTCTGTTCCCATTGCTATTACTGAAGTGGAAAGTGATTCTTAATAGGATTCTGGAACCTTCCTTTCCACCCTCTTCAGGTCTCTGTGCTTCTTGGCACAGGCATATCTAGATAACAGTGCTTATGAGTAGGCTGTTCTCATCACCACTTGACATCACATTAGAGATCGGATCAGTGATCTCATATGCAGAGATAAAACACTTAGGAGTAGTCTTTATGACTAATTTTACTCCACATTCTATGAGATAGACATAAGTATTCTGTTACTTCATATATGTATCGATCTAAAACTAACTTAACAGCTGTGATAACATTTAACCACTAAGAATTAATGTTACTATTATTAAATATTCTCATTACCTGTTACCTTAAAAGATATACATACTTTGGCGGGGGAGGTCAGTTAACTTATGTGATTTTTAAAAAAATATATATTTTATTGATTTTGTACAGAGAGGAAGGGAGAGAGATAGAGAGTTAGAAACATCGATGAGAGAGAGTCATCGATTAGCTGCCTCTTGCACACCCCTTACTGGGGATATGCCCTCAACCAAGGCACATGCCCTTGACCGGAATCGAACCCAGAATCTTTCAGTCCGCAGGCCGACGCTCTATCCACTGAGCCATACCGGTTTCGGCGAGCATTTCATTTTTTTATAGGGAAAACTATAGCTAATTACTCTACATAGCTCTTAACACGGACTATGGCCAAGAAATTAAGAACCTGGGGTGCTGTGAAGAATTGGGAGCTACAGATCTGTCATACTTAGCACATGTCAGCGGCAGCTACAGGCTTCTCTCTTCTGGGACTCACCTTTCCTCTGGGAAACTGCTTCTTGTGCAGGAGCCCTAGGACTTGCTGACTCGCTGGCTGCGAGGTGTGTGATACAGTATGTCTATAGGTCAGGGACATAATGATCAGAAAACAGAGGGAAATAAAAAGACCTGCGAATTAAGCAAACCTTATTGAAAATTTAGTTCAAAAGCCATTGGTTTTCAAAAATTCCTATTTTTATATGGGCTTTAAAAATTACTTCTTATCTGTGAATCTATTTCACCTCAAAACTAGTCTTCAGGAAATTAAAAAGGTTTTCCTACTATAAAAATATACTTTTAAACTTAAAGGAGATAAAATGAATGATAATCATTAACTATGTGTACCAGGTTATTTTTAGGCGTTTGTGGGTAGCTGCCAGGAAGTTTATAGAGCTACTCTTGGTCAGACGTTCTCCTGGTTCCGTGGCTTTTACATTCGTAATACGTAATCTTGTGGAAACTGAGAACAGAAGAGATTTAGTGCAGAATGTTCAGAACCCCCCAGTTCCTAAGCCACTTGGTGTTTTTTTCTGCCTTTTTCCGTAATGCATCGGATAGTTTAGGGCAGGGTGGTGGTTGTGGTGGTGGTGGTGGTGGTGTAGGTGTAGATGTAGGTGTAGTAGTAGGAATAGTATTGTAGTAATATGTGTATTTTAGGATTTGGATGAAAGGTCTTAATTACATTCACTATTGAAAAAGGCATTTGGGTTACCCATGGAGAGATGGCAGATTTCCTGTAAAAACCTCTCAAATATACTACTTCCTAAGGCACCAGCTTGCCTAGCATGAGCTGCTAGCATCTTCATGAATGAAAACAATGTTTCCCCCCTCTGAGTGTAGTTTGTTATGAAGTTTATTTTACAGAAGTTATCATTCATAGCTTGTTCTCATTACTGACTTGGCTAAATGGGACTACGATTATATATGCAAATAGACTAACCTGTGGTACTATTTGTACGTACCCTTCTGCTTCATTTGTTACCTTTAATTAGGATATCCTGTTTGGTTCATATCAAAGAATCCATTAACAATCCTATGATGTTTCTGGAAACTTGAAATTGTGGGCTCTTGGCATTTTTTATGTTTCACTTTGACAGAAGCCTGAAAGGCTGAGGTAACGCAGACTTTGCTTCTGTAGTGGGCTGGGTGCTTGTGTGTTAAAAATGGCCTGAGTATCTCTTACAGCGGAGAGTTACAGTGGAGTAACTGCCTCTCAACTCCCCTTGTTTCCGTGGATAGTTAAGACTGCAGGTTCCCAAAACGCAGCATCAAGGGAACAATCCATATATATACATACACACACACTATGAATACATATAGTGCGTATATATGCAAACACTGAGGCAGCCCATTCTGCCGAGCAGGCCAAGCCTCAAGCAATGCTCCTTACTACCTTTACCTGACTCTGGGGTAGCTTGATCAACATCCTGCTGCTGCTTCACCTGATGTCTCTCCCTCCTTCTCTCCTTGCCTGTCAGGCTGTGCGGTAGCTATCCACAGGAACTCATCGTGCCTGCCTGGATCACGGACAAAGAACTGGAAAGTGTAGCAGGCTTCAGGTCCTGGAAGCGCATCCCTGCCGTCATCTATAGGTGAGCAAGCGTGGCTGCTGCCTCTGAGGCCGCGCACCTGGGGGGTGGGGGGTGGTGGGAGGAGGGGAGAGGAGGGGAGGGGAGGGGAGAGAAGGGGAGGAGTGGGGGTGGCTTCAGGAAACTTCCCAGGCGACTCTGCTTCCTTATGCAGGACTTATCCTGGAAGGCAGAGATTGCTCTCACAGGAAGAGGGTGCGAAGGGCATGCCCTCTGTAGTGCAATCCCCAGCTCCCCTCTTTGTTCATTGAATGATTTAGAAAATTCTGGTCATTTAGAAGTTTGCCTGATACCAGTTTAGGGATAGTTTAAACATTTCATTGTTTAATTTGTATATTTTTTATGGTTCTGTTTGTGAAAATGATAGAAATGCTCTTCAGTGATTTCTAGCTTTAGTGTTTTAGTTCTTTCATGCATCGAAAGCACTTGACAGGACTGCGGAAAACGCCCGCTGCAGTAGCTCACGTTGCAGTCTCAATACTATAAAGCCACAGCCGTTAATGGGTGAAGAGTGCCCTCTACCGTTCCTCCTGGGCACTTCCGGGCAGCATTGCAGATAGAGGGTTCAGGAAAGGTCCCCCCAAGCCTCTTGCTAGAGGTTTGGCATCCCGCAGCTCATTGGTTACCCAGCACCCGCTGTCCTATGCTAGGAGGCGTTTTAAGAATCAGGGAGGTGTGTCTTCAGTTTGGCTTCATGCAGGTAGGTGAGCCAGTTGAGTGTGTTGGTAATACGCAACTACTTGTCTCCCAGTGAGGGAGGATTTAAAAACTACAAGCAAACTGGTGGCTCCAGTGAAATTTGATTATTACCAAATTCAATGTATTGCTTTTGAGCTTTAGGATTAAAAACAAAAATCTTTTCTCACATCATTCCTTGAAGAAGACAAATGGATTCAAAAGTAGGTGTTGCTAAATCCATATTTGCTATACATAATGTGTTAATGTGTGTATGCATATATGTGTTTAGAAACAATTTTTTAAAATACATTTTTAAAATTGATTTCAGAGAGGAAGGGAGAGAGGGAGAGAAAGCATTGATTGGCTGCCTCCTGCATACCTCACCCCCCGTCCCCGCCACAGTGCCCTTGACCAGAATCGAACCTGGGACCCTTCAGTCCACAGACCAACGCTCTATCCACTGAGCCAAACCAGCAAGGCTAGAGACAAGTTTAATGCACCATCAATTTTTCAGGTGCAGAGATAAGAAGGAGAGAACAATGCTTCATGACTGATTAGAAGAATCAGTGTAGTATCTGTAGATTATTTTTAACCCTATTTTCCAAAAATAAATGTAAAGATACAGATATTTGCTTTATGCATATTCATTCGTTTTCTCTAAGAAGGTACATTTATTATTATGTTGGTAACTCTACAAAGATCTCTAAAATGGTATGATAATTGAGAAAGGTCTAGGTAGGTTTGTTGGTTTTGTTGTGATATAAGATTTCTGCCCCAAGAGGACTTGAAGCTAATGCATCTTTTTCCCATAGTTCGGCAGTTCTTTAAGGTTTAAAACCACCTCACTTTTGGTATGAGCACAGAGCACCCGAATGGCGCCTTTGGCTGGTACAGTTGTCGTCTTGTTCCCTGCACAGGCACCAGAGCAATGGAGCCGTCATTGCCCGCTGTGGGCAGCCGGAGGTCAGCTGGTGGGGCTGGCGAAATGCTGACGATGAGCACCTGGTGCAGTCAGTAGCCAAAGCTTGTGCCTCCAACTCCCGATCGAGCAACAGCAAGCTGACAACGAGGAGCGGTGCTCGGGACTTCCCCAACGCAGACCTTTCCGACGCGGAGTTCGGTAAGGTGCTTCCTGGGCCCCGGCAGCCATTTCCATAGCACCCGAGGACCTTTCCTTATAACACAGAATTTGTTTCATAGGAAAGAGAGCAAAGCTTCCATCGATGGGATTGGTTTGAGGACTCCTGGGTCTGGGCAATAAAGGAGAAGACCCCTATTTCCAACTTGGTTTAAGAGGACTAAAGTGGCGTGTTTGTTTGTTTGTTTTTTGGGGGACTTTCTTGTCATAGTAACAAGAATGGGATACATACGTGGTAGGGAACCTGCAGTTTCTCCAGGCCATGAAAGGACTACCATTGCAGAAACAAGGTCAAGGAGCTTATAAGCAAAACAGATAACAAAGAGAAGTGTATGTGCCAAGAGTTCTAGCTGGGGATTTAACTTAATTCTAGTTTATTTTTATGTACTATAATATAATATGTGTTTGGAGTTATTTGCACAATTCTGGAGCAGACAGGTTCATTTATTTTTCCTCCCCACTCCCGATGTTCCTAGATTCTTCTCTGTCACATGCCTCAGGAGCAGAGAGCCTAGCCATCCAGCCGCAGAAGCTTCTGATCTTGGATGCGCGTTCCTATGCTGCTGCGGTGGCAAACAGAGCCAAGGGAGGAGGCTGTGAGTGCCCAGGTGAGGCTGACGGTGCTTTGTCCCCAGCATTCTCTCCTCTGAGCCAGCCTGGGCCCCGCTGGGTCTTCCTGCCTTATGAAATGAAAGGCAGCCATGTTCCCGGGTCCATCTTGAGAGAGGCAGGGCTCTGGATTCTTACCACTCTGCTCTTCATGGGCGAAGAGGAAGAAGAGGTACAGTGAAACCAAACAGTCCTCCTTCCTGTGCCAGCCTGTAGGTGATCAGGAAAACCAGTCCTCTCCCGCAATAAGGTCTGTTCTTATTGGGAAGCAGCGGCTTCAGTTGCTCAGTTTCTCAGCCGTCTAGGAGCTTTGTGTTGCCTTTGACAAGTGGGCAAGCTCATCGCTTGTCTTACAGAAACTCCTCACATGGCTTCCGCTTAGAAAACCTGGTGGCAATGGAAGCAGTAAATACAGAACTAGCAAAGTGCTTCTCCGAACCTCTGACCTGCTGCTGTTTGAATGCCGCTTTCCAGAGAAGGAACCCTTGGGTGCCACTTGTGTGCGATGGAGGAAGTTGAGGCACCAAACTCCTTATTCAGATGGGATCTAAGCTGAAAATTAACAGCAGTGGTGCCGAGGTGAAATGTGAATGCAGAAATGCATTGTTCTGCCAGATATATTCAGAGATTCCAGAGCTACAAGTTAGTGGAGGCCTAAGAAGTAAACCTGGAGTGAGATGGGAGTATATAGGTCTTTTTATTTTCATTATTAATGTTTTTAAGTAACAGCTTCTATTTTATGTCAGCATCTTCACAAATCTAACCTTCCTTTTTGCAAAAACAGGTACAATTTCAAGCACTGTTCTCCACTCATTATAAAGGACTGAGCTAATACAGGCTTCAAAGCACTGCAGTGCCATTAGAGCTGCAGTGGGTTGTTTATTGCCATTTTGCTTCTCTTAAATTTGGCCGCGTGGGCGTTAAATTTAACGTATTTGTATTCTGCTTACTGTTTTTCTCCCCAGAGTATTACCCCAACTGTGAAGTTGTGTTTATGGGGATGGCAAATATTCACTCCATTCGGAGGAGTTTCCAGTCTCTGCGGCTGCTATGCACACAGATGCCAGATCCGGGAAAGTAAGACCTTGGCCTTGGCTCTAATTTTGCATTGCCTTTCCCCCCCCACCCCCCCAAGTGAGTTCAGAGGTTCCTTCTATTTCTTGATAAACTTCAGTTTTACTGTCTGGCTCTGGGGGTATTCTTCAGTGTTAGGAGAATATAAATGAAGCTCTGGGATTAAAATGTAGCTTTTTGGAAGGTTTAACTTGTGCAGCACATAACAGACGGAGGCCCTCAGAAGGCAAGTATTGCTTGTTTTTTTTTTTCCCCCCGCTGAAAAATTCTTCCTTCTTTTCTACATTTGCTTTTGGCCAAAAGAAATTTAATTTTTTAGTTTCTGACATCCTGTAGTGACACTTACCTGCTATGAACTGGGATGTTTTACCATGAAGAGTCAGAGTTTATTCATTGTGTTCTAAAAAGGGTTAAACTTTTTTTTTTTTTTAAATATATTTTATTGATTTTTACAGAGAGGAGGAGAGAGGGATAGAGAGCTAGAAACATCAATGAGAGAGAAACATCAACCAGCTGCCTCTTGCACACTCCCCACTGGGGATGTGCCCGCAACCAATGCACATGCCCTTGACTGGAATCGAACCTGGGACCTTTCAGTCCGCAGACTGACGCTCCACCACTGAGCCAAACCGGTTTCGGCAAGGGTTAAACTTTTTAAAACTTGCTATTAGGTCAGTTCTTTTTACATAAGCTTCTGATTTCTAAACTACCCTCTCTCATTTACTAAGGACATTACCATGATTTTATTGATTATTAAAAATGAATGGCTGGCATTCACAGTGAGGAAGTGAAATAACATCCCCTCTTCCCAAGGGAATGTTTGAACACAAGATACATTAGGAGAATGCCATGTGAAACAAATATGGACAGGTAAATATTTAAAAGCCCCTGCTTTGCATTTCAGGCAGCCAGAAATGGTGCCAAAGAAGAGAGGATTTTCTCTTTTCTGGTGTTTGGGCTGGAGCCCGTAGCTGTTTCTTCTAATAGGGTTCTATTTAGCAGACTCACGATCACATCAAGTTTTACAGCCTTCTTTTCTGATTTATTAAATCAAACGGCTGCTTGCAGCTCTTGTGTTAAGTCCTGGTAGCGGATGATTAAATCCGTCGCATTGCCTCAGCCGGAGGGTGAAGCACTGTCCTTGGAGAACAGCCTGATGGGAGAAATGAGCGTGGTGTTCCGCTTTGGGTTAGCAGCTTGCACGTGCTGTGCAGTTCAGAACCTGCTGGCAGCGCTTCTTCCTTGGAGGCATGGAAAGGGGCGCTTGGGACATCTCCACTGTGTGACTTCGGCCGAATCTGTGGGTATCCGTTTTCCTATGTATAAAATGAAAGGGAGAGAATCGGCACTCCCTGATCTCTAATCTTCCATGTATTAAAATTAGAAAGCTATTTTCTGTCTTCACCGGAGGCTGTTTTTATTGAATTTTAGATTGTGAGGAAGAGAGACACACACACACACTGATATGAGAGAGGAGCATCAGCAGGTTGCCTCCCACATGCACCGCGGCTGGGAATGGAACACGCACCAGATATGTGCCCTGACTAGGAAAGGGCATGGCCCGCGGGGTGTACATTGGTGTCCCACTAGCTGAGCTGCCAGGCCAGCAAGCCAGTGTTTAAACGCAGAGTACAGAGGTGTAATTGGCACTAGGTTGGTCCACATGAATGTCTGAGTAAGAAGCGGGTTTTTAAAGAAGGTAATGCTGCCTGGCCGGTGTCGTTCAGTGGTTGATCATTGACCTATGAACCAGGAGGTCACGGTTCGATTTCCAGTCAGGGCACAGGCCTGGGTCACGGGCTCGATGCACAGAATGAGGCATGCAAGAGCAGCCAGTCAGTGATTCTCTCTCCTCATCGATGTTCCTCTTCCCCTCCCTCTCCCTTTCTGAAATCAATAAAGTGCAGAAGGTAATGCTTTCTCTTCTCTTATTTTATTTTTCACTTACAGTTTTCACACTCAGTATTTTATGTATTTCAGGTGTGCAGCCTGGTGGTTAGAATACTTTACAGAATATTCCCCCAACTTTTCTGGTACCCACCTGGCACCATACATAGTTATTACAATGTTGTTAACTATGTTCCCTGTACTTTACGTCCATGTGACTAGTATGCTGTAACTGCCAATTTGTACTTTTTTTTTTTAATTGATTTTTTACAGAGAGGAAGGGAGAGGGATAGAGAGTTAGAAACATCGACCAGCTGCCTCCTGCACACCCCCCACTGGGGATGTGCCCGCAACCAAGGTACATGCCCTTGATCGTAATCGAACCTGGGACCCTTCAGTCCACAGGCCGACGCTCCATCCACTGAGCCAAACCGCCTAGGGCCGATTTGTATTTCTTAATCCCGTCACTTTTTTCACTCAGTCCTTCAACCCCCCTTCCAGCTCTGTCTTTGGCAGCAAGTTGTAATGCTGTGCTGACGCCTCCCTTGAGGAAAAGGAAGCGATGGCAGTGGGTGACCAGCTGTAAGTAGCCTCCGGCCCTGGTGGCTGTGGAAGGCTGGGGCGCAGTATCCTCCTATTTGGTTTAGAATAAGACAAGCGAGTGTGGCGTCTGCAGCGCCTCCGTGGGTGGCACAGGTAGTGCCGCTTCTGTTAGGCATGGACGGCACCAGCTGGTGAGTGAGGATAGTTCAGACAGGTTCAAGGGAACCTAACACTCGTTCCCGTTCCCCTTCACTGTCTCCCAGGGGCCAGGAAATAACTGAGTATTTTCTCTCCTGGGCCTCATCTTAGTTTCTTTCAAGGCTGTGTGAGGAATGAGAAGAAACAATTTACCCATTAGCAAGAAATGTTTCTGGGTACCTATTAGAATGTTTTGAGATTGAGTTTTGCTTTTTTGTTTGTTCATTTACCCATGATTTTCAACTCTGCCTGAGATACGGTGTCCTCTCCGAGGATCTAGAGTCTGATTGGTAGACCAAGCTAATCTGTATGAAACCAAAGCTTATACATGCACTCCGTTCTGTTATCATGTACCTCCCTTTCTTGGTTTGTTCCAAAAATTCACACTCATTCCCGGGTGTGTTTTACGTCTCAGAAGTGGCTGCATTTTCTTCCAGAGAAGATTCCAGAACTATATGTTTTGTTTTGTTTTGTTTTAAACTGGGTATATACCTATCACAGACTGAAAAGTATTAAATATTAATTTCCTGGGAAATTAGCCATATGACTTTTGAAACAAAAGGTGGTCCTGTGGATGGCTGTCCTATTCCTAAGGCTCTCTATTGCAGCGGCCGCCAGCCATGGTCCCTGAGGCCCGTAAGGTCGGTGACCGCTGCTCTATTGCATAGTAGGGTTCGGGCATCCCTTTGTACATGTTTTATGAAGACACAGACAGGTTTCCTGTTTGCTTTGGCAATGTTTAGTTGAAGGGCAAGTCTTTGGGAATTGCTGTTTAATTTGATGGTTATTTGGCATGACACAGTGAAGTAATGAGAAGAGTCGGTATTCCCTTATCCCCTTCTGTTTTTGTTTTTATAGTTGGCTCTCAGCTCTTGAAAGCACAAAGTGGCTCCATCACCTGTCTGTGCTTTTGAAGTCGGCGCTTCTGGTAGTGCATGCTGTGGATCGAGATCAGCGGCCAGTGCTGGTGCACTGCTCAGATGGCTGGGACCGCACCCCCCAGATTGTGGCATTGGCTAAGCTCTTGCTGGACCCTTACTACCGAACCATAGAGGTGGGTGCACCAGGGCGTACGACGTGGTACTGCAGGGTGAGTGGGGGACACATTAGAGGGTTAATGATCAGTTTTGGCCGTGTGGTTAGGTCTAATGAAAGTGAAATTGTCTTGTTTGAAGTCACTGCTCCTTTACCTTGAGCTAAATTGTGGTGGTGCCTACCACAGGTCTTGCCTCTTCATTGTGCGGATTTAGATAACAAAGTATTGAGAATGTAGCATATTTTCCTTTGTAGTCTATCTACTTTGAAAAGTTTTCCCTACCCCAAGAAAATGGGGCTTCTGTAGAAGAATCTTGGTATACTTATTGTGGTCATAAGTATTACCACAGTATTCTGTGAAGAAAGAGCTCTACTCTGAAATAACTTCCTGTTGGGTTCTGTAAGAAAAACCATAAATGTACCCTAACATTTGTAAATGTAAACCAGAGGTTAGGAAAGATTTTACAAACATTACTTTCTTTGTAGGTATAACACAAAAGACACTAAAAAGGAAAAAAAATTTAGGGGAAAATAATGACTGTTTGTTTTTTTAAATATATTTTTCTTTATTTCAGAGAGGTGGAGGGGGCGGGGAGAGAAACATCAGTGATGAGAATCATTGATTGGCTGCCTCCTACATGTCCCTACTGGGCATGTGCCCTTGACCAGAATCAAACCCAGGACCCTTCAGTCAGCAGACTGATGCTCTATCCACTGAGCCAAACCAGTTAGGGTAAAAATAGTTACTTTTATATAGTGAATGAAGGCTAAAAATATACAATACATTAACTCAAGAAAGGCTTAGTACCCTTTTGATGACTATGGAACAAAGTTGATGGAGTGGGGAAATTGGCTTAAACATAACAGGGATGCAGCCTTTGGCCTTGATGGGCTTAGTGGGAGGCTGTTCGCGTTCACTGCTAGTGAGACCAGGCTCAGGACTGTCAGTCTGGACAGACAAGCACCAGTGGTCTTTGGACAGACAAGCACCAATGGTCTTTCTTGTGTGCTTCCCTGCAGGGGTTCCAGGTCCTTGTGGAGATGGAGTGGCTAGATTTTGGTCACAAGTTCGCTGATCGGTGTGGTCATGGGGAGAACTCAGATGATCTAAACGAGCGATGTCCAGTGTTTCTGCAGTGGCTTGACTGTGTTCATCAGCTTCAGAGGCAATTTCCTTGCTCTTTTGAGTTCAATGAAGCATTCCTTGTGAGTTTGGGCATATCATTCTTCATTTTGGGGACTTTCTAAATTCGTGGGGGCATCAATATAAATGAGAGTGGGCCAGTTTTCACTTGAATCTGCGTCTCCTTTTTAGAATTTAAGAGGGGCCATTCTCTCATTTTTAAAATGAAGAAAACAGTAAACAAGTTTTTTCTAAGGTGTACTAGGTTTGTATAGTCTTTGAGTTGGTTTAAAGTTTAAACTAAGCTTTTAAAATGGATGACAGAAGCCTTAAATAGCAGCCAGAAATAGAATCAGTAATATGTTGCCTGTGCTCTCCAGTTCACCTGCCAAACCCCCTCTATCTGCCCCACACTCTTTGTCCTTGGCTTTTGACAAAGAACACACTACCCTTCCTTCTTCCAGCCCCACCTCCACCCCCTCCATTTGTCCACCAGCATGGATAGTTCCCTGTCTGCCATGTCAGTGCCACCAGCATAGAAACATGGTGGAGTGGCTCTCATCTCATCTCATCACACTGTACTTGGTCCTGCAGCCCCTCCAGCTATCACTCATTTCCCCACAGCAGAGCTCACGTCTTCTCCAGTCACTATCTCAAAGTCTCATCTTTCCATTTTCTCTTAAACCTACTCGGATCAGGTGTTCACCCCACCAGTTTATCAGGGCCACTGAACTTCATGTTAATCTGGTGATAAGCTCTAAGTTTTAATCTTTTAAAAAATATTTAATTCCCATTTATGTAAAATTCCATCAGTCTGTACATTTATCTCTTTTTTAAATTGAAGAGTAATTGACATGTAACATAATTAGTTTCAGGTAAACAGCATAATGATTCAATAGTTGTGTATAGTGTGAAATGAGCACCACAATAATGCTAGTTGACATCCTTCACCATACATAGTTATTTTTTTGTATCAAGAACTTTTCAACTTTCAAATATGCAATTCATATTAATTATAGTCACCATGCTGTATGTTATAGCCCCATAACTTAATTATTTTATAACTCTCGATAGAGGTTTGTACCTTTTGGCTGTCTTCATCTTTGATCCATTAATATTTGGCATAATTTAATCACTTCTTTCTTGAAACACTTGAAACAAATGACTTCCAGCATGCACTGTCTCATAGTTCTCCTTACCTCACTAGCTGGTTCTTTCTGTCTCCTTTGCCAGTTGCTCTTTATCTGCCCAGTTCTGAATTTTGGAATGCCCCAGGCCCAGCCTGCAGGCTGCTCTTCTATCTGCATTTCCTCTCTTTCGTTTACATTCCAGATTTAGTCTGTCAGCAGGTTCTGCAGCTCTGCTTTCACAATACATCTAAAACCTGTTACTTACTGCTGTCTCCACTGTTTCCACATTCGTCCAAACCATCACCTCCTTCCCCAATTTAAGAGTTAATCCAGCAGCCAAAGGGGTCCTTCTAAAGCAGAATACAGCCCATGTTACTCCTCTGCTGAAACACTCCAGCTTTCCATTTTACAGAGTCAAAGTCAAAGTCCTTAATGATGGCCGCAGGTCTCCCTGAGTGGTCATCTGTCTAGCTTCATTTCCTGCCATTCTTCTTGTGCAGTGACCTTAGTCCCACTGGCCTCCATCTGGTCCTCAGAAGTCACAAGCATATACTCACCGTAAGACCGGAGTGCTTGCTGTCACCTCTGCTGAGCATTTCCCTTCCCGATGCCACAGGACCGCTCTTCATTCCGTCAAGTCTAGGGCTAGGGCGGCTGTCCCACCTGCTCTGACCCTCTTACTCCACCTTATTGTCCACACCACTGGCCATCCCTCTTTCACAGCTACAGTAAGCTCCATCGGGGTAGGAGAGCTCCCTGGTATCGATGTACATCAGCCCTAGAGAAACGGCTGAGTATGTGCTGCTCAGTCACCACTTGCTGAATGAAAGCCGTTTAGAAGTGTGCTCCCAGCTCAGACTGGGTTTCACACTGACCTGCTCCTGTATGCAGTTTATATGCTGTCACTCTTGAGAGTGACTTAACTTAGGACCTCAGAGACTGTTTGTCGGGGAGGCAAGAGGAGTGGGTATGCCAGTTATCTGTCTTTGCCATGCCGGTGGTGGCTGGGGTTGGCACCCTGAAAATGGTGCCGTTCGGAGGCGGCTGTTGCGTGGTTTTACTTGGTTCTCCCTCCTTACCGAGTGAGAGCGGAGCTGCTCTCGGGGATGTCTGGGGAGTACGTGCCCAGAGAACGTGTTGCTTGATTTTACCTCCTTGGATTCCCACAGGTGAAACTGGTGCAGCATACCTACTCCTGCCTCTTTGGGACATTCCTGTGCAACAACGCCAAGGAGAGAGGGGAGAAGCACACTCAGGAGCGGACCTGCTCTGTGTGGTCGCTGCTTCGGGCAGGCAACAAGGCTTTCAAAAACCTCCTGTATTCCTCTCAGTCAGAAGCCGTATGTATCCTTCAGGCTTCCTCTCTGAGCAGCAGAAGGAATTTATTGGTGGGGACATTTTTTGAGGAGTGACTTTTCTCAAAGGCATCTCTGTGTCTCTGGATGGGTTGGTTTATTTTTTCCCTTTCCCTTTGTCCTGAAAGACCTGTTTTCTAGTGATGCTCTGAACTGCTTCTGACCACTTTGATTCAGGGTGGTCTGCTGCCACGTACAGCTCTGCCCTGGAAACAAATCTTTCCCGGCACCTCCGCCAGAGCTCCCTACTCCGAGCATGTTCTGGCCAGTGAGTGGGAGAGGCACCGGAGGTGGGCCTGGTGCCCCTGGTAGCTCAGAAGGAGCTGCCACCAGTCCCCCAGCACCTACGGCATCACCCAATGGTGCTATCCACAGCAGCTTCTGTTCCAGAGAGCAGAAAACTCGGTGCCATTGGCTGTGTGTCTGTTTCTGTGCCGACATGAGAACTGGCAGACCCTCTAAGACTTTGTTCCTCAAAGCAACACCTTCTGATAAGCAGAGGGGAGGAGGCGCTTAAATCTTTGTGCTGATGCACGGTAACATTCTTTTTGTCAGAATGCATCTTAAATTCTAAAGAACTGAAGGAGGCTAATCAGCGGTCTTACTGCTTTGCTGGACCATTAATGTGCTTTTCACTGCATTTAAGGGGAGAGAAGATTTGAGGTAACTGCTTCTCTCCTCACTGTGCCTGCTAACAACACAGGAAGAAATTTCCCTCCGTTTCACATGATTAATTAAAACGATGCTCTAAAAGAGGTCAGTGTGTTCTGAAGCCAAGTTTTTGTACCGGGAACAGTCACCATCTAGTGAAATGACTCACTTTCTTATGTAGAAAAAGCAACAAATTAAGCTGGTGAGTCAGTCTTTCAGTAAAGGTGACCTGAGGAATGGATTTTTAAAGAAACACTTTAAGTGTTCATGCTTACCAGAGCCTCAGGTGAGACATGTTGCCAAAGTCTCATCTTATAGAGGCCCCTTGGGAAATAGACTGTATCCACTGATGCTCACTTCCTTTGGAGGTTGGCCAAGAACCGCTGGTCCCAGCACGGTGCTTGCTTTGACCTTTATGTCTAGTTCTCTCTCAGGACTTGTGAAACCTGTGTCCTCTCCTCTCCCTTCAGGTGCTGTACCCTGTGTGCCACGTGCGGAACCTGATGCTGTGGAGTGCGGTGTACCTGCCCTGCCCATCCCCGTCCACCCCCGTGGATGACAGCTGTGCCCCGTACCCAGCCCCGGGCAGCAGCCCTGATGACCCGCTCCTGAGCCGGTGAGCCGAGTTGGCGCCAAGGCCTAAGTCTGTGGAGTGTGTTCCCGTTAGGAGGCCAGGGTTGGCCAGAGATCCTGACGTGGCCTGGCTCCATGTGCTTTCTTAGATTTCGGAAGTTTCTACAGAAAAGGTATATATAAGGGCCTGGGCCTCAGGGGCCCTGCCACTACATCACTCTGCTGCAGGCACTGAGCAGGTTTCAGTGATACTGTAAATCCTCTGCATTCCTTGTGACCCTCTGGCTTGAGTTTCAGCCACTGAATTAACTTTATAGAATTCAGACTGTAAGTTATAAATCAATTTAAAATGATATATATCAGTAAATTAGCAGTACTTTCTTTCCTTTGCCACTCGTTGAGGAACAGTAGTATCACAAATAGCATTTGCTGTTAGCTTATTGGCACATTTGGGATGGGGTGGAGGCGGTGCAGAAGAAGTCTGCACTTATAGAGGCTTGGTCCCGAGTTTGCCTTTCTAGCAGCCTGACCCTCACTGCAGAGGCCGTAGCTCCTTGAGTAGTTATAATGGACCCAGTTATGAAATGACAACCTGTGAAAAATCTGTTTCCTATTTTCCATCTGATGAGCCTCCGAGTCTCACTTCCCCCACCTTCCTTTGCTTTAGGCTACCAAAGACCAGGTCATTCGACAATCTGACCACAGCCTGCGACAACACGGTGCCTCTCGCCAGCCGGCGCAGCAGCGACCCCAGCCTGAATGAGAAGTGGCAGGAGCACCAGCACAGGCGCTCCCTCGAGCTAAGCAGCCTGGCTGGGCCTGGGGAGGAGCCCCTGGACCCTGACAGCCTGGGCAAGCCAGCCAGAGTGCTGGGCGGCGCAGAGCTCTCTGTGGCGGCGGGGGTGGCCGAGGGGCAGATGGAGAACATTCTGCAAGAGGCCACCAAAGAGGAGAGTGGGGCCGAGGAGACTGTCCCGAGGGGGAGCACGCTGATGCAGGAGGGCACAGAGGAGGCTCCCTCAGGACAAGACAGCAGGGGGAAGGCCCCTGAGGACTCGGCCGTGGTGCTTCACCAAGCATCACCGCTGGATCCTGCTGTGCTGAGGAGCCCTCCAGGCACCAGCCTTCCTCTCCCCGCACAGGGGGCTCCTGCCCAGCAGGGCGGGCACAGTGTTCTTCCCGGCGCTCTCCAGGAGCCCCCCGTGGGAGAGGACGTCCAGGAGCCCCTCGGGGAGCAGCCTCCAATCGGAGCTATCGCAGAGGACGGGGAGGAAGCAATGACTACAGTCCCAGTTGACGCAAACATCGATTATGGTACCTCACAGTCAAGTTCCCCGCTGCTCTCCCAAGTCCCATTTGAGGCCAGAGGACCAAACGTGGACAGTTCTTTGGACGTGTTAATGGAAGATAAAGTGAAGTCAGACAATGGGCCTCATCACAGACCTTGCCCGGTAAACAGTGACAGGCTTAGTGGCAAGGACATGTTTCCTGCAGCTGAGGAGCCCAGGCCCCCAGAGGAGAGCCTGGCCGAGAGGCCCCCAGTGGGATCTGGGGTGCATAGGACTTCCCCTGGCAGCACCCACAGCCCCGCACGTCGTCCTTGTGCCTTGCCTGTAGCTGAATGTAAAGAGGGGCTTGTGTGTAACGGTATCCCAGAGACTGAAAACAAGGCCTCTGAGCAGCCCCCAGGGCTTAGCACCCTCCAGGAGTATCCCACCCCCAACGGGCACTACGCCAATGGGGAGGCTGGCCGGAGCAAGGGCTCCCTGAGCTGCCAGCTCTCTGCTATAAGCTGCAGCTCCGCCCACTTACACTCGAGGAACTTGCACTACAAGTGGCTACACAGCCAGACAGGGAGGCCATCTGCAACCGGCAGCCCTGACCAGCCTTCTCGCAGCCACCTGGATGACGACGGCATGCCTGTGTACACGGACACTATCCAACAGCGCCTGCGTCAGATTGAATCGGGCCACCAACAGGAAGTGGAGACCTTGAAGAAACAAGTCCAAGAGCTAAAGAGTCGCCTGGAGAGCCAGTATCTGACCAGCTCTCTACGCTTCAATGGGGACTTTGGGGATGAAGTGGTGAGTACACTGTGCTTACAGCTGCCCAGGGACCAGGGCACACTGAGGCTGGCCACCCTCTGTGGCTGGTGCATGGTGATGGTACAGATTTCTCAAACAGTTAAAAAGGCAGCTATGTGAATGGCAGTCTGCCTTTTTCTTTCCTGCCTTGCTTACTTTCCACGGGTGTCCTGTTCAGGCAGTTAGAATAAGGAAGAGATATAGTACTCATTACACGGTTAGTCAAGATCCTGGAGAGAGGATCATAAGGGCATAGACTCCTGGTCAGAATGACATTGTAGGGTAATGTCCAATATTCCTATTAAATATAGTGCTTGTCCTACTCTGGTAGCACTGCCCACGCACCATGGGCTGTACCAATGCAGGTTTAGTTCTTTTTTAACAGATACTCTGGCAGGTGACGGCAGAAATGGAGAAGAGGTTGATTTCTAGCCCTAGCACTGATGGGGCCTGGTAAAGCAGTGGGGTACTGAGGGGAGATTGTCAAGGAGGCTGTCTCACTGGGTGTGCTAATGTTCTAGTATTTGGTGGTGTTGGACAAGTGCAAACTTGGCTCTGAGGCAGTCAGCGTACATTAAAGACGGGCTCATCAGTGACTTTCAATTACAACTGTCTTCTCCGTTTTTCCTTCACACTAATGATGATTTCTCATTTTCCCGAGTCCTTCAGAGAGAGGACAGGCCCAAAGCACTCAATTTCAGCACACAGATGTAAGCGGCAGGGTTGGATTGACAGGCCCACTGGGGCAGCTGACACTGAGTTCCCACACCATCCTGGTCACTTCTGCCCCACTCACTTCCTGGAATCCAAGGCCCAGATCATTGCACACAGCCTTAGACCTGTGTATCTCTCTTCCAGCTGAGCTCAGCCCTGTCTCTGCACCTGCTCAACCCAGTTCTTGATGGCTGATGTACTGTACCTACAGATTCGGCAGCCTTAACACCAAAGGCCCACCCAAAGTCCCCAGTGCTCCCTCTTCTTTTCCAAGCCCTTCTTCTTCAGGAAGGAGACCAGGTTCATTCTCCTCAGCTGTGTTTGTTTGCCAACAGACTTCAATCCCCGACTCGGAAAGCAATCTGGATCAGAACTCTTTGTCTCGCTGCAGCACAGAGATTTTCTCTGAAGCCAGCTGGGAGCAGGTGGATAAACAGGACACAGAGGTACAGGCTCAGCCCCTGTTCTGAGTGCCATCCATGCAACTTTTGCAGTTCTTCTCCACCCCCATCCCAAACCCTTCCCCTGGGCAAGGAATCGCCCCATAGCACAGTTAGCCTTGAGCCTCTGTGAATCTCGGCGCCTGTGGATCCCCACGGAGCCTAGAATTTTTGAGCCAGGGAGACTCGGCGAGCTCATTGCCTCTGTCAGCTGGAGTTTTGCCAGCTCTCATAGGGACCCAAGTTGCTGCTGCCTGCCATTTTATCGCAGGGGAGTTTGGAGTCCCCTCCAGGACAATGATTTGGACGCCTTTCTTGTACTGCCGACATCAGACCTTCTGGTCTGGTGCCCCCAGAGACAGTTTGGTCTTTGTGACTCTTGGGCTCTGCTGGTAGCAGCTGGATGGCCCATTTCCTGTTACTAACCTGGCCCCATCTCTCTTACAGATGACCCGTTGGCTCCCTGACCACCTGGCTGCCCACTGCTATGCCTGTGACAGCGCCTTCTGGCTCGCCAGCAGGAAACACCACTGCAGGTGCCACTGGGGGGTGTGGTGGGCCAGGGTGTGGGGTTAGATTTGGTCCATGGAGCCTGTAGCTTGGAGAGAGGCAGGCATCTGGCTGGCAGTATTGTCTTAAGACAGCCCCCTGGTCCACAGGACTTCTCACGATTTGTGCCTCCGAAATTGGTGTTTGCAGAACTGCGTTTGGTGCCTTTCTCCCCGTTCAGAATGATCATGACTGAATTTTGAAATGTGCAAATTATGTCCCGTTTTGTTTCGCTTCCCAGATTGGTGGGTCAGTAGCCACCACTCAAATCACCATTTCTTATTCCCAAAACTGCTTCCCATTCAAATGGCTGCTATGAGCAAAATGGTTTTCCAGTTGTGGACAGGGAACTTCATTTTTCCTACTTCTTACCCTGTTTCCTGACCCCAAGCTTGGTTTCCTTTTGCTAGTGGTGAGCAAAAGTAGCTGGGAGAGCAGTTGGACAGCGGAGGACAGTCTTTAAACCTGCAGGCTCCTGACTTCTTCCTTCCTTCCTTCCTTCTTGGTTGGGTAGTGAGTTGCTCCTGATGCTTGGCCCCACCTGGGGTGGTGGCTAGAGGATGGTCAGTGCTCTTGGTACAGGAAGTGTATGTGAATCATGGGAAAGCTTACACACCTGAGTGATCCCAGACAAAAACATGGAATCACCTCTTTGTCTAGTAATGACATTTTTAGGACCATATATCTCCCTACCCTGCGCCCCAAGCCCAAATGTCTTTGGTTGGCTTCTCCTCTGAGCTCTTTCTCCCCTCCTTGCAGGGACACTGACCGTGTTGATCAAACGTGGTGAGCATTTGCAACAACATGTCTGTGATGTCTGCATAGCTACAGTAACTTCACACTAACGCGCCATTCCCCCTCTCGGCACTCATTGGGATGTAAGCTGGGGCTGGGAGCGCAGGCAGGCAGGTGGCTTCCGGGAGAACCAAAGCACCAGCTGAGGACCCTTAGGGCTGAGCCAGGCTGCAGCCCTGCACTGCCTCCTGACTGCACGGGCAGCTCAGCCATCTTGTGACAAGCAGCAGTGCTTCAGTGGGTCTTGTGGAATAGCCTGCTGGATTTTTAGAGGCTTTTTTGGGGGGGTGGGGGGTGGGCAGTCATTCTGAGATGCCAGAATAATGCTAATGACTTCTAAGTCAAACAGCATCATGCGCGCGCCCCCCACCCCCCCAAGAGACCAGAAATGAACAGAGGTTGTCTTTCCACAGAACGGTTTGACACGGAAGACTTGAGGGGAAGACTCCACTTAGGGTGTGTCAGGACCCCCTGAAGTCAGATCGAAAAGCTTAACTGATCAAATTCATGTCAGGATGTGTTAAATAAATGTGAATATTCAAAAACAGATTTAGGTAATTTTTCTGTGTAACCACAGGTTCTTACTGACTTACTCTTTTCAAAACAGAGTTGTGAAGTACTACATTCCAGAAAGTTTTGTGTTTTAGTTTTCTGTCCTTTCATTACCCTGTGTCTAGACTTTTCCTTTGTGGTGTTTTTTTTTTGTTTTTGTTTTTCTTTTTTTTTGTCCTGAAAGGATCTTCTGTATTCTTTCCTCTGTGCCTAGCTGGTCCTTAATCCAGTACTAGGTTTGCATTCTGAGGAACGTAAATGAAAAAAGAGTGATGTTGGCTGAGAAGAATTTCCCTTTGCTGCTTTCCCCGTCTTTGGCGAGCTGCGTTAGGCTCCTCGCAATCTCCTGTTCTTGGCTCATTGGGATTGGTTTGTCCTGTAAGGCCCATCACAGTGGGTTTGTAAGGTGGGCAGAAAGTCATCCTCTGCCAGTTCCCTTTCCTGTTAGCTGTGACAGGTGTCTTGTTTGGTGTGCACGCACGCACACACACACACACACACCTTAGAGGCGGGCTTTCAAGTGGAGAAGGAGAGGGGAGGCATGAGGCCTGGAAACAAGTCAGGCCTTCAGGCAGAGCGATCGGATAGTCCCTGGAGTTGCATGGGGGCAGGGAGTGAGCCATCATTGACTGATACCTATCTAATAAGGGGATGTGTGCATGTGTGCTCCTCTGTGATCTGTCATTTCACCCTGAGCATGTGTCTGTCACTGGTTGCTTGTCTCTGGCTTTGCATGCTGGACTCAGAGAGTCCTAGATGGCAGCAATCTATTCTCCGTGTTGCTGCCTGTGAGCCTCTGGGGCAGTGGTCCTGTGGGCCAGGCTCCTCACCCCCAGCTGGGCAGCTATTTTCTCAGCTGCAGGGCTTGTGGGAGTTCCCCTGGCCTCTGGCCTCTCTGTGACCACCCGCTACATAGAGGCTGTGGCCACAGATTTTCCTGGGCCAGGACTTACCCATAGAGCTAGCAGCTGCTTCTGCCCTGGGCTCATTTGCTTTCACAGATCTCTCTGGAGCAACATCCTCGTGTAGACCTGGTACCCTTGAGCCATAGTGACGAGGCTGTGACTGATAGGTAGGGTTCCCCTCTCTGCTTGGCTTTTTCTTGGCTAGACAAACGAAAGTTCACTCTTAGAGGAGTCTCCAGCACATTTGAATTGCACACAACTAATTCCTGCCTTCTGAAGTTGGTTTCCCCACCCATATCTGCTACCAAAACTAACATTGTTTTGTTTCTTCTCCTCACCTCAAGGAATTGTGGGAATGTATTCTGCTCCAGTTGTTGTAATCAGAAGGTTCCAGTTCCCAGCCAGCAGCTCTTTGAACCCAGTCGAGTATGCAAGTCTTGCTATAGCAGCCTACATCCCACGAGCTCCAGCATTGACCTTGAACTGGATAAGCCCATTGCTGCCACTTCAAACTGAAACTCCGTGACCTGGGGCAGGCAGAGCCAAGCTGCTGCTCCTGTGCCAGGCCCGCCCGCCTGGCAGCCCGTGAGGCCCGCGCCCTTTGGAATGGGGCTTGGAACCACCTGTGCAGAGTGACAGAAATTGGGATGTACCACTGGATTGTAAATTGATTTTTCTTTCCTGTTTTTTTCCCCCCTCCCCTCCCCTTTCCGTCTTCCCCCCGTTCCCCAGAAGAAAAATGCTCCCCTGGCTGTCTTGAGGAAAAAGGAAAAGTGTTTAATGGGTACCAGAGATTGCCAGGCCCCGCTAAGCTGCCTGTTGTCAGGTGATACTGAGGGCTGGCTTGGTTTCTCAGGATGGAAGGAGGCTGGTCAGAGTCGGGAGTGGAGGCCTGAGGATGCACGGGAAGGGCCAGTGCTAATTTGTGACCATTCCTCTCGCCAATCAGAGCTGGTTGGAAACCTTGGCTGCTGAGGAGGCTGGAAGCATCTTCCCTAAGAGCATTGCCCTGGGCACCCGCTCCCTCCTGCCAGGGGCCAGTCCTACCTCACAGGCAGAGGAGACTGGCTTTTGGGGGAAGGAAGGTGTATGTTCTGAGGCAGTGAGAGGGGAGGGCTGGGTGGTCGGCATGGGATTGTGTGAACTTGATCCAGGGCTCCCTTCTGTCTAGGGTCTGCCTCTTCGCCAGGCTGTGTAGTGCTTCCCACTCTCTGGCATAGGAGTGCAGACTGGTCAAGTCTGTTGCTGTGGCCAAGGCCAGAGCCTGCCCTGAGCCCAGGCACCTGGTCCCCCAAACAATCTCTCGTCCTTGGCTAGCACAGGGAAATCCAGACTCAGGGTTCCAAAAACTCCCCACTCCCAAAACAAATCATGGACCTCCCCCTCCAGGGGTAGAATCAGCCTTGTAGAGTTCAGCCTCTGGGAAGGGGCGTGTCCCACACAATCAGCCTTCCGCTCCTGCCCTGCCCCTGTGCTGCCGCCAGCAGTGAAGGCCGCCGGGTGACTGCGGTCCTCCGGTCCTCGGAAGTGACAGCCCATAAGCAGTTCAGGGCACCTTCCCTCAGTAAGCTTTGATGTGGTCCCAAAGAGCCTTAAATCAAGAGTATTTGTGGTGGAGGTGGGTATGGGGAAGGGGTGGAGAGTGAGGTTGTGCTTTGTAATCTCGGTTGGCATCCATGTTTTGTGCCTGCCCTCCCTTCCTGGGTAGGGCCATGCTTGGGCTGCTGAAGCTGCTAAGTGGTCACCAGGCGGATTGTGGTGAGTGAGTGGTGGGGATGAGACCGGGGAGCGCTTTCTGGAAGCGGTTCCCTGTTCTAAGAAGCTCTGTCTCAGGAAGGCGGCTCTGTGTGTGCCTGGCTAGGGTTAAGACGGGGCCCAGAGGCCATCCCTGGAGCAGCCAGCCCCCATCCCGGCAGAGCCAAGAGCACCTGAGCACGAGCCGACCTCCCGTGGCAGCAGGTGGCGGAGGGTGCATTTGGTGAAACAGGGTGTGGCTCTCCACACTGTGGTCTCCCTGCGCTGACAGGGAGGAGTCAGTCTAAGTGAAGATTGTGCATTTCTTAGTGACAGGTGCCAAGAGGTTATGATACGGGTTTCTTGGGTCTGATGTACAGTGTGAATAAATGCTTGCAGCTCTTAGCCCTTTTTGGATCAATGAAGCACTTTTTTAATATTTTCCTTTGTATGTAAAGGAGGAGCCGTAACTCTCCGTAGCTGTACATATAACCCTTTTTCCTAAAGAGGAGTCAGTGCTCCTATATTTTTCATTTTTTGTCAAAGCAAGAAGTAAATACTTTAGAACTGTTAAATATATAAATAAAGTGAATAAAGTTTAGTGTTCCGCATGGTAGCATTTGCTAACACGTTCCGATTTTTTCCCTTCTGGTTTGTCCCTCTGTATCCCTTTTCTGTCTCACTCAGAAGCAGTGTGAAGTGCAGCTGGGAACCTGGCCTTTGGCAAAGGAAAACTAGATTTCTTTTCCCCTCTGGACCTTGGCAAGGACCGTACCAGGACCAGGATGCCCCAGCACTGAGACACATTTCTGTGGTGGTTTTGCCCCTAACATTTCCAAAGCCACAAAAGCAGGCAGGCACGGATCAGTCAAGTGGTTCTTCCTTATCTGAACAACTGAGCATCAGCAGTACTTAAAACTACCGCTGGTCTCCTGCTGCTGCTCTGGCTCCTTAACCCTGCCTACCCAGGGAGCATCAGCTGCACCTGTAGCAGCTGAAAGACGCCGTGGGGAGACCGGCTAGCCCAGTGGTCGGCAAACTCATTAGTCAACAGCCAAATATCAACAGTATGATGGAAATTTCTTTTGAGAGTCAAATTTTTTAAACTTCTAACACCACTTCTTTAAAATAGACTCGCCCAGGCTATTTTGTGGAAGAGCCACACTCAAAGGGCCAAAGAGTTGCAAGTGGCTGGAGAGCCGCAGTTTGCTGACCACAGGGCTAGCCAGTTTGCTCTGATTACAGTAGGGGTGTCGAACTCAAACAGAGAAGGGGCCAAAATCTAAAATCCAGCCTCAATCGCGGGCCGAATGGTTTACTGAACAGTCATAAACTGTCATTGTGATGGAAACGCAGCGGAGTGCAGTGATGACAGCGCAGTTCGGGCCACATTGCAAGGCCTGGCGGGACGGATTTGGCCCGAGGGCCTTGTGTTTGACACGTGGATTACAGCATCAGCCCAGGAACTGAAGGGTCACAGGTTCAATTCCAGTCAAGGGTACATACTTCAGGGGCAGGCTGGATCCCTGGCCCCAGTTGGGAAGCAACCAATCCATGTGTCTCTCCCTCTCCCACTCTCTCAAAATCAGTGGGGAAAAACTAGTGAGGACTAACAAAACAAAAAAGATATGACATGAACAGGGATGAGAGACTTCGGACAGAAACTGAATAAGATGTGGTTGGAGTATGCCTAACGAGGGGTCTGGGAGGAACCTGCTCCTTAGGTGTGCAAGCAGCGAGCAAGGCCTTAGCTTCCAATCACGTCCTGGCCAGCTCTCCCTCCGCACAGAGGTGACTTCTTCCCGCGTGTGTCACTGTTGGGCGTCCCTCGGGGGTACGCTGTGCAGTCCCTCCCTGGGGCAGGCTGGTGCTGAGTGGTGCTCAGATAATGGGGTCCCCACCCAGTAGCTCATGCTGTGCTGGGTGGGCTTTGTTGAAAGGGGACCTGCTCAGAGCCCCTCTGAGGCCTTAACTCTGAGGCAGGCTTTTCAGGGCCAATTTCTGCATGGTCAGTTCCTCTCCCTAGAACACAAGCACGAAAAACAGCTCAGCTGGTGCCAGTGTGGAAGCTGCAAGTGCCTTCCGCCCATGTTTGAGAATTAGCCTGTCTTAGGGAGGAGAAGCTGCTGTCGCAGCTGCCCCCAGTCCACACGGAGCCCAGCAGTCCGTGCAGACCAGTTTGTAGAGAATCTGTCTCCCAGCCAAGTGTGTGTGTGTACACAGCTCCCATTGTCCCGGAGGCCTCACAAACACCAGCAGAACCCGGCAAGTCTGTGGATGCCCACAGGTGAGAGCTGCAGAGACCTGCACCGCGTGGGCGGAAGGCAAGGACGTGCCCTGAGACGACGGCTGGCTGTATGTGGTTCAAGGCCAAGGCCAGCTTTCTTCGGCCCGCCACGTGGAGGAACGTGGTCTGAAGGAATGGGGTGGTACTATAGTGCCTGAGCTGAATTTTCCTATCCTGGCACTCAGTATTTCCCTTCTTTCTATACTTTGGCCTCCTTATCCCAGACCCCAAATGGCAGGGCTGTCTTAATCCCCTGGCTTTCCTACTGAGGATGTATAGAAAATTTTTTCTTCAGTAATTTTGCTGATATGCTCCCTGTTCATGTATATGTTAGCAAAGAATATCCTAAGAATTAAAAAGGTACTGTGGCAGATTTGAAGGAGAATGAACAAAGTGGAAGTTATTTAGGATTTAAGTAATTTCTAGCTATCAAAGAATATCAAGTGGGGAAATAAGATTACAGGCAATTATCCTTGATATCCTTGGCTGCTGCACACTGAGAGGAGATCCTGTGCCTATTGAAGGTGTTAACTCGAGCCTCTACTGATCCTTTCAGAGTGAGAACTGATCGAAAGGCGCTTTCTCAGGGTTTATTAGCTGGCTGAAGTGGCCTGCCCCCAGCTGCACTGCCCATCGCTAATAGCAGGGTTAAAAAGGGGGCCCTGGGCTCCAATGACCAGAGGTTGCAGGGCCCTGACTCTCCACCTGAGCTTGGCATAACAGCTGGAGTCCCAGCTGCTCAGTTCCATTTTCTAAGAACATTTGTTCTAAGCTGAGGTTACTGACAAGATTTCCGAAGACAGGAGGAGGAGGAGGCAGCCTCCTGAGCCTCTGACTCAAACAGGAGCTGCCGTGCTGACCGCTTCCTGAGCACATTCCAGCACGGCACCGTTCCACCCGCGCGTGGCGTCCATTCCACGCAGACACCAGCTGCCCGCCTGGCGAACAGGCTCGCTCTAGGCCGGGACAGGCACCCTCTAAAACGGGAATTACAAGGTTTTAAATGTGCTCGTACTTTATTTACCACTTGGTCTTTTGATTCAGACCTGAGTTCTTAACTTTCTTATAGTGCTCACAGCAGTTGCATTTCAATTGTATTTTCAGCGACACTTGTTTTATTTATTTTTTTTATTTATTTATTTTTTAAAGTGAATTTTTTTTTTTTATATATTTTATTGATTTTGTATAGAGAGGAAGGGAGAGATAGAGAGTTAGAAACATCGATGAGAGAGAGTCATCGATCAGCTGCCTCTTGCACACCCCCTACTGGGGATATGCCCGCAACCAAGGTACATGCCCTTGACCGGAATCGAACCCGGGACCTTTCAGTCCCCAAGCCGACGCTCTATCCATTGAGCCAAACCGGTCCCGGCTTGTTTTATATTGGCATTTAAAACTGGCTTTTAGCTGCCTCCCAATTGGTTTATAAGATTAAAAGAAAAACACATAACCAAGAGGCTTGGCTGCTGCTTAAGAAATACACTGTGCTGCTTCTGATAGTAAGTGCTTGCCTACTGTGACAGCATTGATTCTGTGTAGCCTCCGTGACCATTTAAAAGTGAATAACTCATTTTCACCCACAGACAGGCGTGGAGCCCCTGAGTTCAGGTTCAGTGCGTGGAGAGTGAGGGATCAATCAGCTCAGCCCCTCAGTCTGTCTGGGAGATGGCCTGGTGGGGAGGGGCAGTGGGTATGGAGTACTGGCTTAGTGGTGAAAGGCCTTAGATTATCTAGTGTGTTTTTCGTAGTTCTGCCAGGCCTGTGTGGGGAGGGAGCCCCAGGCCCATTCAGTATTAGGCTAGGTGAAATCGGACTTGAAGGAAGGTTTTGGTGTTCAGAATCACTGATTTAGTCCAACCTCCTGGTTTTTGTTGAGACTGAGGCTTAGGGCACAGCAAAGACTCATCCAGTGTTCCCAATGGATAAGGAGCAAAGTGCGAATTTAAATTCCTTCCTGACCCTCCCTCCCGAGTGTTCCTATGCTTCTAGAAGACAGCCGTAGATAAACGGTTACTTTAACCTGGTCCTCTTGGAGTTAGCCGAGCCAGAAATCTTAGAAAACAGCTTAGTTGCTTCCAAAAGTCTTAAACCCTCTTCCTCCTTCCTAATCAAAATCAAAATCAAAGGTTTTAATATAATTCAGTGTGTTTTTTTTTAGTTTTCCGTTTAACCTCTCAGATACATAGAAAATTCAAGCTAGTAATATATTTTAAGTTCAAGTCCAAACACTATCCTAAACCAGTGAGGTTGTGGGGAGCATTTTTGACTAGTGCAGATGGGTAGTTGTGAACTATCTTAGCATCCAATTTATTTCTGAATTTATATAATATGGAGGAAAAAAATCCTGACTATATAGAAAATCAATTGCAAGTGGTAATAGTCACAGCTTGCCTGCAGTCTCTGGTAAGACTGAAGTAGATGCTTGATAAAAACAGGTTAATAGAATATTCAGCACCTGCTTTCAGTCCTTACCCTTCACATGTCAAGAATCACCCACTGGTTATAATCACTAAAATTATTTTATGGTGAAAGCCACTAGCATGGAGTTGCCGCTGGGCTGGTGGTCACAGCACTGAACGAGAGCCCTCTAGCTCAGCGACCCTGAGAGCCCACATCAGCACAGCAATGAATGCCTTCGGTGAGGTCTCAGGCAGCCTTAGTGAATGCCTGTTCTGCATCTGCATGCTCATATTAAAGATGGTTTTTAATATTTAAAATTACATTTGAAGGAAATATCTGCAAAGAACCCCTACAGCACTGTGTCAAAAACACAAGTTTGGTGGAAAGAACCTGTTTCTGTCTCTTCCCTTTTCCCCTCCACTCTCTAAAATTCCATGGAAAGATACCCTCAGGTGAGTATTAACAACAAAACAAGATAACAAAAAGCTATTAAATATATGAAGCAAGCGTTGGCAGAATTATTGTGAGAATTAGTAACATTCTAATAATAGGTTTCAATTTCCAACTTTCCATAATGGAGTGGCCAGATAGATCAAGAGGGAAACAGGACTTGAACAACACTATAAACTGATCAGACCTAACAGACATACAGAATACTCCACCAAGCCTCAGCAGAATACACCATCTCAGCAGCATATGAAACATTCTCCAGGGTAGATTACAAAACGAGTCTTAAGAAATTTAAGAAGTTGAAACCATACCAAGTATATTTTCTGATCACATGGATAAAACTAGAAATCCACAGCAGAAGGAAAACTGGGAAGTTCGCAAATACGTGGAAATTAGACAACACACTTGAACAACCAATGCGTCAAAGAAGAAATCTCGAGGGAAATTGAGAAATACCTCGAGACAAAAACAAGAAAGGC